CCTTTTTTTACAAGTTCAGAAATATTTGCGGCTCGACATTGATTCAGTTCTGGAAGTGAAGAGTGGTGCCCGCCCTCATTGACGTATGCATGTTTTATTTTCGTTGAAATATAACACTCATAGGTCACATATCGATGGGAGAAAATCGACAATGCACAGACAGCACATCTTGGATAAAACGTTTTGGCTTATAAGCGTTTTGGCTTATAAGCGTTTTGGCTTATAAGCGTTTTGGCTGATGATAACGCAGAACAAAAGCAGGCTACTTGGATGCATCGTATGAAGGCTCACAGCTTGTGTTGCAGGGATTGGATGTAGTGTTTGATGGTCTATTTCTGAAACTCCCGATATTGCATGTATTAAGTTAGCTGCCAACTCCCCCTGATTCTGCAGAAGGTTCCCTGAAAATCCCTGATTATGGAAACTTTTTCCCTATTATGTTGAATGTAATTGTAAATATCTCCCTGATTGTTGTACAAAATCTCCCTGATTCCAAGATGCGAATGTTGACAGCTCTGAAGTTAGCTTGATGTTAACTGTATAGTTCCTAGTGGTAACGAGGATGGTATTTGTGGCAAAATAAATCAAGTTTACTGCATGTATCGTCTTGGTGTGTGAAGTTTCTTTGCTTCTATCAAAATGTACTTTCTCCTTCAATAATTATACAATTACATTCTAAGACTAAAGACGACTCTTTTTATAGTCTGAGATTTAGGGTATAAATAAACGTGAGCATCGCCAGAGGGGCAAGTGCACGCCAGCACTGACTGCGGAGCAGTGCACAGCGCATCTATCCATCGTAAGGAGGACTTTCCAATTTAATATTCAAAGCAATATTTTTGCATAGTCAGGCTTATAGCCAGCCTGTTGTGAAAGAAGGGTCTTCTTTAATCTAAGTGGACCAGGTTCCTGCTACACTTTTGTGCGCTCACATGCCTGGTAACGTAAACTATCAAAAAGACAAATATCATAAGTTTCGTGTCAACACACGATATATCCATGTATAAAAAAACCTATTCATGATGTCAGTTAAGATTAGAAATTAGTATTTGAAATATTTGTATTTTCCACGATCACATTTCCTATGCCCCCCCATCGACGATCATAAGCCAATATATACCCTCGAATATGTATAAATATGAAGGCCTATATCAGTCCCCCATTTCTCTCTCTCTGGCTGTCACTCCTGAGGAGTATGACGACTTCGGCAATATCGTTCGTGGGCAAAGAGTCCAATTTGGTGAGAACACTGTCTGCCGCAGTGGCGGCAGCAAAAGCGAGAGATGTGAGCATGAGGGTTGGCCACTAATGCAGCCCTGGCAGCACGCTTGCGACTGCGCTCTGCTGTCTCTTCAGCCAGGCGGTCATCAATGAGGGTAACAGAACCTCTGACAGCAGATCTCCACCGTAAACGGTCGCTTGCTGTGACCTCCCAGGAGTCGACATCGATGGCACAGGCCTTCAGGTGTCTCTTGAGACAGTCTTTGAATCTCAGCTTGGGTCTTCCTCTATTTCTTGCGCCTCTGATAAGTTCACCATATAAGACAGCCTTAGGAAGCCGCAGGTCGTCCATGCGGGCTACATGGCCGCTCCATCGCAGTTGGCTCTGAGAGAGTAGTGCCTCAACACTGGGGATGTCTGCTCGTCTTCTTACTTCCACATTACTAATCCTGTTTCGCCAGGAGAACTTGAGGAGATGTCTCAGCTGGTACATCTGGACGCGCTGGAGTCTCATGATGTACGACGATACAGAGTGTAGGTTTCAGAGGAGTAGAGCAAGCAGGTGAGGACTACTGCACGGTACACCTTGCACTTGGTTGTTAGCCGGATGCCATGTCTCTTCCAAACCTTTGACTGGAGCTTCCCATAGGCTGCAGCGGCCGCACTAATGCGCCTTTCCACTTCTTTGTCCAGGCTGTTATCATTGGAAACTGTGCTGCCGAGGTAAGTGAAGCTGTGCACAGCTTGAAGTGGATTCCCACCAAGGGACAGCTCTGGGTCAACGTAGGCAGTGTGTTTAGGAGGCTGGAGCATGACCTCGGTCTTTCTGATGTTGATGGTAAGACCGAGGCTTTGGGCGACTGAGTGGAAGGCATCAAGCATGGCCTGAAGTTCCGCCGCAGAGTGTGACACCATGGCAGAGTCATCTGCATAAAGCAGTTCACGAGCACAAACAATTCTGGTCAGGGTCTGGTAAAAAGATTAAAAACGTGGTTATCAAAGTCCATCTGGATACAACAGGGTGTAATAGGTGCACAAGAGGGAATATTGCTTGACATACACATGTAATGTACATTTTCCATTACAAAACACCCACAGATTTCTGTTCCAATTTCATCATATTGCGTCTGCCAATAAAACAAGGAGAAACGAGATCCAAGGTCACCTCAAAATTATGTGTCGGTCTGAATTCATAACATGACTGTAACTTATAGGTGCAATACCGTTCTCTGGCACTATTTAGGCTTGGGGCACTAACAAATGGCGTTTTGACGAATAAATATGAAAAATGACTGCAACTAAGATATACAAAGTTCATTGACCTTTCCAAGGGTGTTAATATTTTATTCTTATTAACGTAAATAGGTAGCATATGGTTTTACAAAGGTCATGACCTCTCGTAAGGTCACCAGAGGTTGAATATGAAATGGCCTATATATGAACATTCTTTTTACAACATGAACAACTTTCATAAGACATGAATCGTGAACAAAATGGGGTTTCAAGAATAAATGATACAAATAGATATAAACAGGTTTACAAAGGTTATTGACCCCTCATAAAGTCACCAGAGGTCAAATATGAATTGTTCCTACATCTGATTGTTATTTTCATTGTATGAAGACATATAGCATAGACTTGGGTCATAGAAAAGTGAAGTTTTGAGCAACACAAGTTTTGAACATACCTCCATATCTGAAAATTTTCTTCACGGTATTATGGGAACCAACATGCGAAGTGTCCTGGTTTTATCACGAATTGCACAATCCTTTGGGTATTAGGGCTATGCCGCACCAACAGTATCAATTCAGTTCAAGAGATATGTTACATTTTGAGCTTAAAAGATTGTATATTGATATGTCATAAGTCATGATGACTATGACTCCACAATTTATTTCACATCTTTGAGCAGCGGTTCATGTTTGCAAAAAAAACAAAAACTTTTTATCCCTTGAACCATTTGGGTGCAATCAATCATGTTGTAATATCGATACTTCAAGGGAATGTACATCATTGGTTTTTGATGTAATTTTCAGAAATGAACTATTTGAGGGGTTAGTATATATAGATCAAGTATTGTTACACTGACATTTTTGAAGTTTTGTGTTCGGAAAGGTTTGAAAAGCCAAGAAAAACAAAAATGTTTAAGTAGTCTGGTTCCCTGACTCCACAAAAGATAAAATGGATCAATTTATAGATGATGGAAAAGTGTAAGGCACGGGAACCAGTCTAGCTGGCCTGCACCCGTTCATGAAACATGTAACCAATAGCAAACAAAATTTGGACTGAAAAAATGGTTAATTTGGAGCAGTAGTTGAAAAATAGTTAGGTTTTTCCAACGCTGGTCGGCCGACCACCGTTGGAAATGTATACAAAAATACCATTTTCTTGAAAATGACTTCACACAAGGTGCCATAATTTTACAAGATGCTTGAGACTGTCATTTACTAACATCCTAGTAAGGTATTTCGTAAAAACTTGGTAGTTTTATTTTTCGATATTTGCAAATGTTGTTTATTCCCTTTAATTCGTTATTTTGAATTCAATCCAAGTTTGACCTCCCTTTAATCCTGGAAGTAGAGATCAAGCGACTTTACGTCATATCTCATAACATCACCAAGTATAAACATTGATTCTTCGTTTCATTCATGAGTTCCGATTTAAACAAAATGATCACCTTTTGAACCGAAATCATTTGTAATTTGATACCTTATGACGTCATTATTAAGTCACACTTGTATGCACACTTCCAGTGGCGTATCAAGCGGGGGGGGGGGGGGGGGGGCAGGGGGGCAATTTGCCACCGGCATATTTTTTGACCAAATTTTTTTTTGTCAGCAATGATTTAAATAAATGTTTATAGAGTTCTTCTGACATCAACCCCACCAAAGAAAACCCACTCAACAACCATTACAATGCGCCGTGATTATGTTCATATAATAGTCAGCATAATAATATTAAGTTTTGAAGAGCGCCTTCATTTGAAAGATGGGTACCAGCCCCCCCCCCCTTTTTTATTTTATGTATAGGCCAAGTGTCCGGAAAAAAAAATTATGTCTACATTTCGGCGCGGATGTGCAGTTGCCCCCCCCCCGCCTGACATCAAAAGCTGGATACGTTGCTGTACACATTTGCATCTGGATTGATGTTCATAACAATTTTGAAGTTCGTGAAGAAAAAAACACACGAAAACATGAACACGAGCAGGAACACGAAAGAAGAAGAACGAAGACAAAACCTTAGGATGATATCACTCAATTAATATAGACCATTGTGCCCGATCAGCCGGTTAGGCTAAATATACAATTCTGTGAACTGCTGCCATAGGGAGAAGTAGACTGGGATTCCCGGTGTGCATTTGGCGTGAATTTAGGACTCTATGAAATTCGGACGCATTGGCAGTATTTCGCATGCGTTAAGTATGGTAATTTGAAGCGTGACTGATCACTCGAGAGGGGTTAACCATTAATATGGTAAAGGTGTCCGATTTTCATAGGAGTCCGATTTTCATATGACACCGGCCCCACGTTGCAGTCGCAACTCGATGAGTCAGGGAATTCCCCTTGTAGTTCACGGGGAGTAGGTCTACTCAGCGCCGTACCACAACGCGGTCGCCGCTAATTGCATTCATAAGCAAAGGTGCGGAGGGAACCGCAGCTTTCGCAATGCATTGTTGGTATTTAACCGTTATAGCCATGGCTACGTGCATTCCATACGCACGAGATGTGCGCACAACGTGCAATCAGTGTTTACCGCGGGTACCAAAACCAACCAATGAGAGCTGCAAGAAAATGGAGAACACCGAAACCTTTGGAGAGGACTTCAGGGACGAGCGAACTCATTTACATATTCAGTTGGCTCTTTAAAATGCATTACGGTGTTTTTTATTTTGAGGTAAACTGCATATTATAGTACTTTACTAGTCGGCATATAATACTCCGAGCATTAGGCCCACCGCCATTCAGTCTGACTTCACTATTGGCCAAATCTGGGCTCATTAGCGCGCCTGCTCTCACAAGAGAGAAACATTTGGATTGGGGTTGTAGATTTAAGAGGGAATTTTATCGCTGAACTTCACACGAACATCACCGTACGGAGAGGAAACCGTCATGTTCATAGGGGTGCGAGTTGTACGAGGTCCTGACTGGAAATGGGGCGACCAGGACGGGGGGAAGGGCTGCGTAGGCACCGTGGTGCCTGCACAAGCTAAGGACAGCGGTAAGTATTTTAAGTGCGTCACACAAATCGCCCATAGAATGGTGACCTATGAGGGGTCCTATCAGGGCTGTATGAAGCTCAACATTATTGGCCAGCCTCATCTCAGGGGCAGGGAGCTTGATCGGAAGTCAAATAGCGCGTTGTCCTAACGGCGTGGGGTTCGGGCCTGCTTAAGGCTCCGAAAACTGATCACTTTAACCATTTGTTTTGGAGCCTTCATCATTTAAACGCCATTTTCGAGTTTGGAGTCAATAACCTTCTTAGTTTTTGTTAGTTTGAGAATTTGAACAATCCCACGTGAAGGAGCGTGGCAAGGTCAAATTTTTTTTTTTTGGGGGGGGTTAACAAATTCTTAAAAAAGGCGCTTGCATATTTGTGCTGATACTAGAAACTTCTTTTATCTCCGGACACTTGACCTCCGTAAAATCAAGGGGGGGGGGGGCTTATACCACCCGTTCATTCATTGCTCACAGGAGATGTCGAATTGGCTTATATTATATTGGCAATAGAGCCGCAAAGAATTAGACATTTGTAGCTTACTTATAAACGTGGGCCATTTGTTTTTGTTAGGATTTTTTCATTATGCAGTAACCTTTTGTTGCTAGAAACCAGGCGCGGATCCAGAGGGGAGGGGGGGGGGGGTGTTTGGGAGTCAAACCACCCCCCAGCTCTGTCAAAAAAATTCTCATACAAATTCCTAAAATATAAGTCGAACCCCCCCCCCCCCCCCCCTGCTGTGACACCCCTAAAAAAAATTATACTGGTCTAATGTCCGCCTGTTCAAAATACGGTACACCAACCCCTGCGAAAATTCCTGCAGCTATTTTAAGACATTTAATTGTTGTGATATCCGAAAACCGGGAACTTAAAATCAAAATGAATCCTACAATCTTTGAATCTTACAATCAAAAATAAACGCCCTTTTGAATTTTTGGGTGGGGTTTGTTGCTGAACAAAATGCCAAAACTCTGGACGGGTCATATCCAAATACTGCTTTTTGTAAACTCGGAATAAAAAATTGATGAAACAACCAAATGAAGACACATTTCCACAATAAGGAGTCGAGCGATGGTCCAAGTAATACATGCAGAAGCCCTTTCAAGTCAAAAAGCTTTACAGTCAAGTTAAAACTGGGCTTGAGAGTAGATACTTCCACCTGTGATCTTGCTTTCAGTGACGGGTGTCTGGGTGCGATGGGACTCCGGGCAAGCTGCAAACTACCGCGCTGGTGGAGCAAGCGGCAAGTACGATCTGCGGATTTACGATAACGCCCAACTAGGTAAGCGCAGATTCTGTTTTGAAATACCCCTTAATATAACTGTCATTGCTATATTGGAATCCCCTGGATGCTTTCAAGGAGAAGCTTTTTAGGTTTATTTATGCTACGGTTTATTTATTCCACGCCTCGTTATACCTCCCCCGACTGAAAAAACTTCAACACCCAGGCCCAGCCAACCCCTTTTAGAAAATCTCGGATCTGCCACTGATATTATGAAATGACCGAAACGCACTTTTTTTGTAAGTTTTACTTAAAATGTTGAATTTTTTTTTGCAATGCAACAATGAGAGTTTCCATATACGCGGCAAAATATTAAAAACAGTAATGTCGTGGAGGCAGCCGTTGCATTGCCGCTGCTTTTTGAGCATTGAAAAAGTTGTTAGAACTGTTGTAAATTCCGTTGTCAAGTTTGCTTTTGTGCGTTGTTAATACCTAACCTCTCCAGTCAGTAAGTAAACATTTGGTGCAACAGTGTTTCAGTGAGTAGCTTTAAGTTATAAGTTCTTAAATTGTAAAGAAAATATCTAAACTGTAACTCGCTCACTAAATTGTTATCACAGCAATAACATCATCATTGTTAAAAAAAAAACTGCCTTAATATTATAGGCCTATTGAATAATTACTAGCATGGTTACGTTAACTCATTACCCTCTCCACTTCCCAAATTCCAGTACCAGTGAATTTATATCGAGCAAGCGGGGCAAGGGGGGGGGGCAGTTCCTTCAAATTTTAAACTAACAACCGTTCTTATTGTTAGTGAAGAATGTGCACAGTGTCGTAAACCATGTTTTATATATCCATATGTTCATGATCAAATGGGGCAATCCAATTTTTGGTTGGTTGCAAGTTCACAATTGCAGATCAAGTTATCATTTTCCCTCCTTAGACTTGTGCACATTTTATAACATTTTTATCCAGAATAAAACCGTTTAATCTTGATAAGTTTACTGCGCAGTTGGAATACCGATGAGACTCATTCAAATACATGTACTGGTAAAAGTTCAGATTTGTAGATGTGAACATTTAAAAAAACGCTGTTGGATCCAGAATTTATATATTTGTTAAATTTTAGCTTGGGCTAATATTTTAATACTTTCGGGGGTAATGGTCATCGCCTAATTTAAACTGCAGAGTTGAAGCCTTTAATTCCTGGCATTAGGCAGTAGCACACAGAAATACATGAATTATGAATGTATAAATGGGTGCCAACAATAAACTGGTATTTATCATGCTTGTTTACAAACAGCCCCACACGACAAGCATCATAGGGTGTTTTTGTCATTACGACCAACACACTGCAGTGGAAATCCCCTGGAGAATTTGTTTACAAACAGCCCCACACGACAAGCATCATAGGGTGCTTTTTTTTCATTACGACCAACACACTGCAGTGGAAATCCCCAGGGGAATTTTTAATCACGTGTTCAGACTATTGTTATCATTATTTTTTTTCATAATGAACAATGCGCCGAGCCGTGTACATGTGCATATCAATGCACATTGAACCTTACTCGCCTGTTGACCTGGGAAACCCCAGCTGAGCAACAGTTTTTGGTGTCATATGAAATTTAGACTTCTAGGAAACGTGGTCTCTTTTACCTTATTCTCACACGTGACTTTCACTGTCCCGCTTTCTGTACTCAAGCATGCGCAATATAACCAATGAGTCCGTATTTTATTAAGTCAAAATTTTACGCCACAACGGCACCCATTCGATAAAATATTGTTCATCAATTGTGGACTATAATATGCACCAAAATGATGCACATTAGTGAGAACTGTTCACTCTACATGTCGATTGCAGACATGAGCGTTTTTCCCATGGCATGTCGGCATATAGCATGTCAGGTGCGATTTCATACTTGTGAAAAAAATATATTGTGGAGTAATTTTTGATAAACAAAAGACTTTGGCTCAATTATTGTATATAATATTACGAGGATACCTTGCAGGCGCCGGAGGTACATTAATTGTTAAATTCGATGTTTATCCCCCGTCCCCCCTTTTTTTTTGGGGGGGGGGGGGATCGGGGTGGGGCAAGGTGGTGCTGGGTTGGCCTCTCTGATGTACTAAAGGACATTCGTGACGGATACCCTATTAAAAGAAAATTAAACGCGCGGAATATTATTTGTGTTAAGGTTTAATATTGAATGACGATTGTTTTGAAATTCACCGTCATATTCAAAGAAAGTTTAATGTACGGGGATATTTTTCAGGTAATTAAGTATATTGTGCCACATTTCCTCTGAAATATCGAATGTTTGATGCTCTCTAATTTTCATTGAGTGAAATTAGGGACTACATTTATACTGAAAATCACTCTACATTTAGATTGAAACACTTTGGAAAAAAGTAACAACAGTAATACTCGAATGATTTTCACTGTAAATCGTCTTGTGCTTTCAGTCTAATGGCAGGGGCGGCGGAACCGGGGGGGGGGGAGGGGGGGGGGGGCTGGGGGAACTCCCCCCCCCCCGAATTACCCAGGTGCCCCCTTTGCCGACATAAATGTGCCCCCCTCGAGATGAAGCCAAAACTGGCCCTAAAATTTCGGCTAATTTGTTTTCAGTAACCATTTCCGAAAATGGTATTTCAGCACGGATGTCCAAGTGCCCCTTTTTGGTGAGGCCCCCCCCCCCCTCCCAGTTTGAAAACCGTTCCGCCGCCGCTGTCTTTGCAAAATAGAGAAATGACTGTTAAATATTATTGATTCAATCTTGGAATAGGAGTGAAGCATCCGACTGTGGAGTGCGACGGCTGTCAAGAGCACGGTGTCGTAGGAATACGCTGGAAATGTCTGGAGTGTCATGACTTCGACTTGTGTCACAGCTGCTATGACAAGGGCAAGCATGACCTGGGTCATCGCTTCACTAGGATCGAAACCAACTCAGTTCCAGGGTAAGTTTATTGGGTATAGACTATTTAGTTAACAACACATTTTCGATGGCCACATTGCATCATGGGATTTGATGACAAACAAGCAATGCAGTTTATGCACAAAACTATTGCGACTGTGAACCAGTCAAATTTGAAATTATTTTTTTGGTTACATGTATCCAAAATTAACCGATCCTCACCTATCAATGCATAAAATGTGGAATAACATTCAGAACTTTGAAAATTTAAAGAGAGTAATCTTGATTTTATTTTTAAGGTACCAGTCATCAGTCCCAGAGGAGCGATTGTGATCAATGTTAAAGGCGTAAGCTAGAAATCTTGATGCTACTTGGCCACTATTGGCTGGGTTTTTATGCATATTCATGATAAAAACTGTCTTCATTCAGATCAGCTTTACAAAATTGTTTTACAAAATTATATTTGTATTAATAATATTTCTAGTCAACAATGTGTGACAAATTGATAACTTCATTCTTGATATATAAAAAAAAAAAATAATCAAATGACAGTTGTAGCTCACCGTCCCATAGGTTTGTGCACAAACTGCCTGGGTTGTTTGTCTTCCATAACCAAAATGCATTGTGAATATCAAAAAGGTTGATTGATCAATGCATGATAATGAGGTGTTTAATAAGACAAACATCAAATTCAAGCTGCTCATTTACCCTCTTTTACTCTCTGTTCTTTTGGATGGGGAGATGACATGAGGCTATTTTTCCCTTCAAATACGATCACCGCTGAACGTAGTCCTGAAGCCCGTGGCCAACTTGACCACATTTACCGTCACCAAATGTTTACTGAATACAGAGTACAAGATCTTTTAAACCGTTGAAGTAACAAACGTGACTTTTAATTCAAAAAGTTGGTGTTTACGATAGATTTATTTCGAAAATATTACAATTCGCCCAATTACAACAACGGGCTGTTTCTATCACAAAATTATGTTTTGCAACAATGAATTCAAACACAAAGACCATTTCGTCGGTATCTTTTATAATGTAGAAGTGGTGTACAAGTACGATTAAAATATGACACATGGATGTATAGGAATGACATAATTCCGAATACGCACCTATATGCTAAACATTATGTCTGCATAATTATGTCTTCCTAAAATAGGAATGCATTCGTGCTAGGCGATATTTCTTTGTACATGCTACATACATAAAGCTGGTAACGGGCTAGGTTTAACGGAGTCGTCCATTGATGTCATGTAACCATGGGGACGTCGAGTCTAAACCTAACAATGGAACGTATCGTGGTGTTCGCTCATGCGAATCACAAAGTCGAAATATTGTTTGTCGAATTGCGTTCATATTTACTGCACTGAAGCAATGCACAGTGTCGCATGCACTACGTACAGTGTTGCATCAAGATGTCGTCCTTTAAAAGCACTTTTTCAAAATTTTCGTTTCAGGATTGAAGTCCCCTGTCGATTTGGCGCCCTCAAATGCCGCTCTTTGGGCATTTTCCCAGGTGCCCGAGTAATGCGAGGGCCCGATTGGGAATGGGAAGATCAAGATGGTATGGAAATATCACATTTGATTTAAAATGAAAAGGATCACAGGAAAGAGGATTGTCGAATATTATGTTTGGTTTATTGATGCTCTTAAATTCAAAATGTATATATTTTGGAAACCAATATATAACATATATATAACCTGTGACTAAACTACATCACCAGCATTTATTATGCACATTTCAAATAAAAGGTGTTTTGATATCTATCGATCCCCTAAAGGACGCATTTGGATTGAATACAGAGATAAAACAACTAAAAGTCGCAGTATACATACGAAAGTGTTAAAAGACGATTACAAACATTAAAACATAAATGAGAATTAAAATGTAAAAAAAAAAAAAAAATGAAAAATTAATTATTTTAAAATGAATTCACACGCATTTAGTATTTAATTAAGTAAATAATAACACTTACCCTAACCCTAACCCTAACCCTGACCCTAACCGATACTCTAGCCCTCTATTAAGCAGCTATAGATTTTCCTGATCGTTGATTAGTTATGGTAATGTTTTAATACAGGTGGGGAAGGGAAAGTTGGTACAGTGAGCCAAGTGATTAGCACGCAAGGAACCCATCGTTCCTGGGTCAAAGTTCAATGGCCCAACCGCTCTAACAACAATTACCGCCGGGGTCACGAAGGCAAGCTGGATCTACGATACACAGAGAAAGAGACAATGGGAGAATTCTACATTGAGCACCTCCCGAGGCTCGGTAAATGATACCTGGTCTGTATCGAATAGTCTGCTGCAAGGTCTTTTCCCCAATGGTGAAAAAGTTTCAAAATTTTCTTCAAATTATCGTATATTCATAACCCTATCTCCAGAACGCTTCGGTCAGGACGCATAACGTTCGGGGATTTTCTTTACTTTTGGCAATCAAGATTTTTTTCGATACAAACACTTGTTTTCTATTGTGTTATTAAAAAAAAAACTTTTCCCCCAAACACATCGCGTTTTCACTTTATTGAAGAACTTACGATGGGGTATAACTCGGCCCTCAGTCATGAGTAGAGACAGGTTGCCCCGGTCCTCCATATAGCGTTAAAATTGCAAATCCGTGGTATATGTTCTACATCGTCTCTCTTTAAACGTTTCTTTTAATTTCTTACTTATACTTCTGAAACAGTCAATAAGGGAATAAATGTGTGCTCCGGAGGTTTTTATCACTCTGTTTAATACGACTTAGAGTCTGGGTGCTGATAATTACCCGAGCCGGAGGCGAGGGTAATTATCAGCACCCAGACTCTAAGTGGTATTAAACAGAGTGATAAATACCGACGGAGTACATATTTATTCCCATTCATAAATACCTTTTCGGTAAAAAAAAATCATATAATTCGTTCAAAACATCCCGATTTTGTTCAACAAATTCACTTTATGCTTTTTGAATCATCCCTCCTGCAAAATAATGGAGTGTTCAGCTGGCGAGTAAGATGAAAACAACCCTTTTATGGAGATTGACGCGCGCGTATCGTGTTCTATGCGATGTCGCGCAGAACGCACCTGGCGCGTTGCGTTTTGAATTTAGAACTATAAAATTCTAACTCCCTGGTAGTGTTGCGCATGCCTACGTGAGGATTGTGAACGTTCAACCAATGAAACGATAAGAGGCACTGGATTTTTAGGAGTCCACTGTTTTTGTGACACTGGAAAAGTGTTTAAGACCAGCTGGCCATGTCTTTATCATCCGTTTAATACCGGCCACGTGACGGGCTCTCGACCAATAGGAATGGCTAAACTGTCTGAGGTATTTATGAATAATGGTTTAACGTATGATACTATGCATATGCACGATAATAACCACAAAAACGACAAGCTCCGGACTGAAGCTCTGATTTTCGGTCCTTTGCAGATGGGACTAGAGTCCAGCCTTACTTGGACTCCGGAGACAAGGTCCGTCTGCTGGACATGGACCCTTTGAAGCTCAAGGAACTGCAGCTGGAGAGGTGCGGCTGGAATGAAGAAATCAAAGACGTAAGACAGATATCAGGGCTCAATTTCATGGCTCCGATAACCTATAATTCGGCGCTTATAATCACCATGCTTGCATGCAGCGCCGGCAAAGAAATCCTTATAACCTGTTATCAAGCAGAAATTGTAAGTTACAGCTTGTATGTCTGCGCGCAACCCAACATCCTCACTACCCCGTGTTCACCGTTTAGCCCATCAAACCGGTCGGACCCATGCATAGGTGAAAACCATGCGCACGCCAAGATGAAAGATCATACATGTAGATCATACCCCATGCTCTTTAAAAATGGATGTTTTTCTCCCAACGTATTTCCAATTCATGTTTTGGAATGATTTGTTTTGACCAAAACAAACCCCCTTTAAAAGTGTGTTCCGATTTTAAGCGTCTGCAACCCTCTGAACAAGGAATTTCATTTTGCGCGCAAATGAAACTGCCCTGCAAGAGCAGAGTGATTATCTGGCAGCAAATAATTCGATTTTTTTCTGAAGAAATAGTGTAACAACTAAACATGAGTCGTGAGTTTTGCTCGATGTCTTATTTAAAAGAAAATAAGTTTTATACATCTTGGAAAATACCAATTGAAAAAAGCAAATCTAGTTTTCGAAGTGAAACTCGAAAAAAGCACGGGAAAGCATCTTTACAGAGGTGCTTTAGTTGTACGTTGCTGGGTTATAACGACATAGTAAATATTGGGGAAACTAGTGTTGTCCCTGTCCAGAGATAAAATACCATTTAGTAACCCCTGAAGTCCTAGCAATAGACTTTGGTCATTGAATGTGTCAAATATATGGTACGGGTGGATCAATCTAAATCTTAGCGTACACCCTCTACACATCATGATTGAGTTTTAAAATAAGTACATGTTTGCTATTAAAGTAGATGGAAAATCGTCACGAAGAAAAGATCATTGAGCACACAAAATACCAAAAGATCGTGTATTTCTCATTTTCCCCCATCTCAGTTCATAGGAAAAGTCGGTGAAGTCATTGTGGTCGACAAAGATGGCGATGTCAAGGTCAACTTTGGCGGATCGTCGTTCTTCATTAATCCCATGTGTCTCGTCATGGAGAAGAAGCAGGAAGCTGAAGAAACAAGTGCCGGTGCTCTAGGTAAATGCAAAGTATTCATGAACATGTCGACACCGACAAAATGTTGATGCTAAAATGGTTCAAGAAGTGTCAACAACCTCAGAAATAGTCACGGTCTCAGAAATAGTCGGCACATTCTTTTAAAACAATATGAACAAAACACTACTTTTTCACCAAATTGAGCTTAGTCTTCCGACATGGCGCCTAATTGCAATCGTAAAAACAGAGGCCTGGTGTAAGACATGGTGACCTACTAATAAACTGATGCTGCGATTAAAATCTTTCTCTGTTTTCAGACACCAATGTAGGTGAGTTATTGGCTGCTCTACTCCTGAAGTCTGAGCTAGGGAAACTCGGAGACTTGCTCGGCGGATCGGCGGATACATCGGGCGGTGCTGCTCTCTTTCAGGCGGCTACTACCGGCAACACCAACAAAGTGCGAGAGATCATCAGTGATCATCCAGATGCGGTGAGAACAATAAGATTTTCTTAATGTCAGATTAAATGGAGTCAGATGGGTCATGGTGCAGCGGTACTTTCTTTGTCTGAACATTAGACATTTTAAACCTCTACACAAAATCCTTTGTACTGTTGTTGGAATATCTTATAATCCCCACCTTTCTGCTAAAGTATTGTTTAATGTTAACAAATGTAGCTCTACAATCATACCCCTGTTAGCCAGCCCTCACACTGGCCAAGTTCAAAGTAACTTTTATTTAACTTCGACAATGCAATAAAGTTCAACGATTCAGTGTTTTCAGCATGAGCTTCGGGATCTTGTTTAGTCTCCTTGATGGGATTGCAGTCCATCGCAGTCCATCCTAGGCTAATGCCAGTAAGTAGAGTGACAAGTGGGATGAGGTGGCTTGTTGCCAAAAGGTTCAATACGCGGCTAGCAACTTGATACGAATTCCTTGAGATGATTTTACACCGATACAAATCTTTATGACTCTTTGGGGTTAACAATATGCAAGGCCAATTTTAGATACTCTTCAATCAATATTGTTTCTGTAACAGGTCAAATTTCAGACTCCACAAAGACAGACAGCACTTGAGGCAGCTGCCCATCGTGGTCATCTGGATGTAGTCACAGCTTTGGTGAGAGGCCAAGCGCCATTGGAACATCGAGATGAGGACGGAGACACGGCACTTGCCTTTGCAGTGCTCGGGTGAGCTACCTCATGTACTTGCCTTTAGGTGGCGCTGTAAAGTGGGATCCAACAGGGTCATATTCGTGAGGAGAGAGTGGCAATAATCAATCAGAAACACTGCTGGGTCAATCAGGTGCTCAGTTATACAGCACAGGATATGTCAAGTTACATGTCTCACGACTGCAGCTACCTGATAACAGTTTAAAAATAAAGTTATGAGGTCAGAGAAGATCCTATACTTGGGGAAGTCGCTAGAGGGCTGTATGTAGCGTAGACACCCATAGGGGAAGTAGCTAGAGGGGTGCATGTGGCGGATGACACCCATAGGGGAAGTCACTAGAGGGGTGTATGTGGCGGATGACACCCATAGGGAAAGTCGCTAGAGGGGTGTATTTGGCGGATGACACCCATAGGGGAAGTCGCTAGAGGGGTGTGTTTGGCGGATGACACCCATAGGGGAAGTCGCTAGAGGGGTGTGTTTGGCGGATGACACCCATAGGAGAAGTCGCTAGAGGGGTGTATGTGGCGGATGACACCCATAGGGGAAGTAGCTAGAGGGGTGTATGTGGCGGATGACACCCATAGGGGAAGTAGCTAGAGGGGTGTATGTGGCGGATGACACCCATAGGGGAAGTTGCTAGAGGGGTGTGTTTGGCGGATGACACCCATAGGGAAAGTCACTAGAGGGGTGTATGTGGCGGATGACACCCATAGGGGAAGTCGCTAGAGGGGTGTATGTGGCGGATGACACCCATAGGGGAAGTCGCTAGAGGGGTGTATGTGGCGGATGACACCCATAGGGGAAGTCGCTAGAGGGGTGTATGTGGCGGATGACACCCATAGGGGAAGTCGCTAGAGGGGTTTGTTTGGCAGATGACACCCATGCTCGTCTTTTGCTGTCATCAAACAATCGTATAACTATCGGCAAAAGATATCAGATGCTGGATGTTTTCTAGTCCCGCCTATCCTTTACCCACCTGTCAGTTGTACGTTACATTCTTCCAGCAATTCTGTGGTTAACTCCAATTAAAGAATAACCCAAAAAATACATCAAATTGGTCTGGTGACACCCATGCTTTAAACAATGAGCTTCGTGAAATTTACATTTTCTCTCGACAACTTTACATATTGTGACAGGCAACCACCATACTGCAGGTCATTTGCCGAAATGTGTCAATAACAATTCGCCCCACTATAATGGCAAGTCAGGTATTTTTCACGCAGCAATTTTGATATTTTTTGCTTCTCAGTGTAGTAACCTTATTTTTCTGACAGTGATAAGCCGGAGATTGTCAAGTGTCTCTTGCAAGCTGGAAGCAACATAAACGCAGCGAACAACGAGGATTTGACCCCACTCCACCTTGCCGCTTTCAAGGGTCACCAGACATGCGTGGAAGTGCTTCTTAAACACGACCAGCAAAAATGTGACGTTAACTACAAAGTAAGTCGTTGAATGCTGTTCACATTCATTATACCTTGTTGTAACGTCTTCGTTTACTGTTCTAGGGACATTTGATCTCAAGATCTATCCATTTCTATGAGACAAACACAACCAGTATCAATAAACGAGTTTAGTTTCCTATTTCATTCTACCTCCAGTAAATCACATTCATGTACAGAACTTTATAGATTGCGAGACCTTGCATGTCGAACAACCGTTTGCTGTCGGTGCAGATATGAATGAGCCGTATAGAGCCGTGAAAAAAATTACAGTTAGGAAAATCGCGTAATATGATGAAAATGAAAAACGCAAGATAAGGATCATTACTCAACAAAGGATGAAAATCGGTTGTAAACGAAATGAAATTGTACACCAGGCAGATGCCACAAAGATGCAGTCAACCCTATGCAGTGGCCAATCACAATCTCAATATGCATCACTATCACATTAACTCACAGTCAGCAAAATGTAAATAGAAGTACCTCGAGTACCGATATTTGGTTCCTTCTATTCAACAGGATAAGAAGGGCAACTCACCACTAGTCCTTGCCATTGCCAAGAATAACAAGCAGATCATCCATTGGCTGATAAACAGCCCACGCATTGACCTCCGTCAGGTGAACAAGATGGGATTCAACAGTCTGCATCGTGCCACGGCCTCCCAAAACACTTTGTACGTCCTCGTTTGTTTATTTTTTGGGTTGCGTAACAAAATACAAATTGGATGAATTATGAAATTCAACAATATTGCGTGGAGCCTTCATTAGGCAATGATATGCAAGACGTCGCAAACATTTGCATAAATGAATAATAAGAAGGCGGGTCTTTAGGTATCCAGAAAGTCTTAACAAGAGGAATCTCTGTGAATTGAATATGTAGGAAGTTTGAATGAGACGAGTATGTAGAAGTGGAGTGAAAATGGAGGGTCTTAATTAATGAGATTGTGATACGTATCCAAATCATACATAGTTGTCTCAGTAAGACATCCTAGATATTTTAAGCCCGGCTACTTATTATTGATTTATTCAAATGAGGCTTTTACTCTATGAATACATTTGCATATATGAACATTCGTCTAATACACAACTATCAGCTGCAAGATTTAATCGTGCACCATGTAAGACCATTATTCATGTAGTACGTTGATGTTAAAGAAAGCGGGTCAAGAGTGGAATGTAGATTTATTACATTATTGCTGAAGGCAAGTGTGTTTTTCAATGGTCAAGTGCACCTTTTTTTTTCGGTTTACATCGGTTTTTGTGCTTTACATCGTTTTTTCGTTTTGTAAACAGTTTGACATTTTTAATAGAAACAAGTGTTTTTTTCTCGATTATTCCAGTGCCGTTGAAGGGATTCTAAAAGCCTCGCCAAACATGATCAATATTGCCAAAAATGACGGCTTCACAGCACTACACCTCGCTGCTCTCAACGGTTTATCGGACATCACTTTGATCCTCGTCAAACAGGTGAGGCCATTGATCTTATTTTCCCGTCAAAAAGGAGACATATGAGCCTAACAATGGCGGGACGCGAATCTTTTTTCCCCAAACGACATCCGTTTCCGATCTTCTGATTGGTCCAATACATGCATATCTAATGCATAGTTCTCCACAACACAAACCCTAGATGGGCTTTACGTCTTGTGAGAAATGTTCCTTCCTCACTTTAGTTATTTAAAAGGTAAAATGAAAAGAAGTGGAAAACGCTCACTGAGATATCTGAGTCCGGACCACTTCCAACCTGTCCACGAATCAGCTGCCCATCGTAGGTGATTTAAACACCATTATTCCTTGTTATATAACTTATTTTCTAAAGCCCCGGACATCATGAATAGGCATTACACAGAGAGAGCGCCCTCTTTTGATATTGTCCGATCTCGTTTGGGAAAAAAAATCGGACATGCCTATCATTAATCTGGACGTACACATAATAGTTTACGAAACACAATGAAGGTACGGTATAGTGGGCATCTAACACAAATTTAAGACATTAATGTCACTCCAAAAGTCACGAACAATCTTATACCTAATGGCTTGTATACTTTCCATTTGTTTTATTAAGGCTGGCTGTAATAAAGAACTGAAAACTATCGCTGGACAGACGGCGCTGCACCTGGCCATTGACAAGACCCACAACAAGTGTATCGAGGCTCTGGTCAACAACGGTGCCAATGTGAACGCCCAGGATAGCGACGGTGATACAAGCCTGCATCTGGTCATGATGAAAGCCTCCATGAAAGACATCATGCGAGTCACACCCCTGGGTCAGGTATTAAACTCAACACATCTGCACGCTTGGTAGCAGCACACAGCGATTGGTTTCCGTTCATTACCTTATTCTGAGTTCATCCTTGTGCCTTTGCAAAGGTCATCTTTCATAAGATACACCTTGTGTCCAAAACTTTTCGAATGCTTCTTAATTAGGTGGCATTTTTGAAATGAGTGAAATTTGCGATACATATTGCCTTCTTAGCTATGTTAAAACACGAGCTGTTACTGGGTTGAGTTATAGACAAACATTTTAGTCATTTGACAAATTGATAGTCTGGAGTGTTTTTCAGCAACGCCGTTTGACTAAGAATGAGATAATTCATCATCAGATTGAAGAGATATCATTCAATATACCTATTTGTTGTTTGCCAAGATGGGTAAAAACAAGTGCGTACGTCGTTTAAAGTCTGCCTACCCCAAAACACCCATCCAAGTATTACTTTTCATGTTTATTTATTGTAGTTGTTGCAGCTCGCCCAGCAGCTTGGAGACGGGGGCGCTTCGTCGGACCAAAAATCCAACCTGGTTGCCATTGCAGCCTACCTTATTAGAAATGGCGCCGACATCTACATCAAGAATAACAAAGGCAGCAATGTTCTTGACGTCACCGTCAATTTAGGGGTTGAGAAGTTACTGAAGGATCTCTACCAACAGCAAAGGTGAGATTGTTTTTTATCATTTATTTTTAATGTTCAAATAAACCACAAAACTCCTTTGTTAGTAGCTTATGGACTCCCAATTTACGTATACATCTATGGACAACGAAGGTTTGTAGGCAAGAAAGATTAGCAAAGGGCATTACCATACTTCGTACGAAATTGAAAGTCGATATTAGTCTTCTCGTTCTTTGAAGTTGACAAGCTATGTTGTCAACTTTCGATAGGCCTCTACCTCGGGGAACTAATATCGACTAGGCCTATCCACACCATGTTATATTTGTGTATCACTTACAAGTCCATTTGTTGTATTCTAATTTTGGAACGGAGGGAGTGAAGCAGTGTGAAAAGGGGGCTCATATAAACGTCGTGTCTATCCTGCCAGCGCACAGGGGACGCACAGGCTAATGTGGGCATATGCAAAGTCTAAGACGAATAATTAAGTTAGGCATCGCCAGAGAACCCTTCAAGTGTCTTGAAGCTGCTTGCACGGCTCACCATCTACACATCTGGCCTTACTGCCAGAAGAGGCGTTGGACTGACTCCATGGGAGAGGGCAGTGGCAGAACGGAATGACGGAGCCGCTATGTGAACACTCCTTGCTAGAGCCAAGGGCGGATCCAGGGGGGGGGGGGGGAGACCAAAGGAGGCCATGGCCCCCCCCCCCAAAAAAAAAAACGAAACCAATTTTTTTTATTTTTATGTGACATCGCAATAAAGGCAGGCAATGAGTACACCACCATCTTTTCCTCAAAAAAAAAAATTGGTTAAAGTGGTCAGCAATTGCCTCATATCGCACCAAAGAGCATCTACAATCCAAAAAATTTCCGGGGCCCTTTTAATAAGTGGGCCCCGAACCCCACGCCGTAATTTTTTTGACCCACTTTTTTGAGGCACCAAATTTGTTTGGGCCCCCCCCCCAAAAAAAATTGTGTTCTGGATCCGCCCTTGGCTGGAACCCCAAGGGTGATCGTCGATGCTTATTTTGGTGGGGCCAAATAAGAGTCCTCGGAGGGATGGTATAGCATTTAGCCCGGCCGGTCAACTGAGGGCTCCTTTCCGCTTTGGCGGCTGGACAGATGCCCCTGCCAAAAAGACTTGAAATCCCGGCTGCTAACTTCTTCTATAGGTTTTTCTTGTTGAGTTTAGTCATATGTTTGGATGTAGAAGGATGCTGTTTTGCCTGTACCGTGAGTTGAGGAATGAAAATAGTGTTTTCAACAGACATCAGGGCCATGCTGCGTTTGTTTATGGTATAAATCGAGGACACACACGTGCAACATCATCAATGAATTATTGAGGACAGGAATCAAATCGAAGACGACCTCAATTAGAAAACGTGTATAAAACCAATGAGAGCTGTTGCAAAAAGTATAAACAAAGGAAAAGGGAAGCCTTGGGTACAATAGAAAATCCTCAATTTACACCATAAATAAACGTGCTAGATTGTGTCCAGAAACCTCCAATCGACACGCTTCAGTATGTTACGTGCTCTATAGTCGGATATGAGCAGGAAAAACATTGAAATGTCCATCTAGCTAGTTGCCTGTAATAGCTGTGTTTTATGGCAGCAAATTGAACAGTGTTTTTATTGGGAACATGGTGCTCAAATAACACTGACATGACAATGCAGCCGCAATGAATGTCCAGGTTTGCTATAATTAATAGCCTCAGATAACGGTCTTCTGGCACTGTGGCAAAATGTATATTATTCAATGTAACTACACAGATAAATTTTAGGTAGCGCAGCCTAAATATACCCATATATAAGGTTCCAATCAAGCTTACCTAATGCAAAATAATCATCATTGTGTTCACTTGAAAGCTTCCAGGGGAGTTGCTGTTTTTAACAAAATAAGGCGTGTAGACACTTGCCAACTGTAACATTGTGTCACTTTAGCGTTTCACTTGCTATAACTGCATGTTTTATTGTTTTTTTCAGGGTTGAGCGGGCAATGAAAAACAGTCAAGAGAGCTGTAAAGTCAGCTAGGGAGCATGACATGGCTACGGCGGCTGGACCCACAGGAACAAACCATTGAACTGTGTGATTATTGCTTTATTTCTAGCGTTAGTTATTCCAGTATACTGCCTAATTACCCCCAAAATGGTGAAAGTAAACCTGAGTTGATCGCTGTGTAGGCATTTTGCTTTATAATTGAACAATTTTTTTTAAATTTTGGGCAAGTAGTTATTCTAGACAAAGTGTCTTAACCATTTAAGACAATCGTGTTTGTGTTTCACTGAGAGTAGTCCTAGAACAATTGAAATAATATTCGATGTGTTTACCCAGAACTCCTCAGTCTGTGAGCTCGCCGAAAATGTATGTGAAAAAGCCGACTAAAAGATGTTACATAATATGAGTTTAGTGGGATTATTTGGTCATATTTGATGTATAATCAAGTATAACATTTAGCCAAGAATTATTATATAAAGATGGTAATGATTTTAACAGAAATCTTAAAAAAAAACCTTATCATCAATAGACAGAAAAACAATGCTTTAGTAAAGTTTATACACAGTCATCTATCGATGTACAAATACTTATAGCAATTCACTCTATTTTCTACCCTTAGAGAAACAGTTTAGAGAACAGTTCGTTACTTTCATTAAAGTTTTCATGCAACATATAAATGTTATATGCATTATGCATGTTATTTGTTCTAAAAACGCTAGGTGAATGTTTGACTGAAAATCCTGACGACGCCAATAAGGATGAGCTGTTGTATATGTGTTATATAATGTAGTGCTGTAATCAAACACTGTAAACAATTGTCGCAAAACAATACACATTTAAACAGAGACATGACAGAAGAAAACTACTAATTTCATTTAACTGTTTTCAACAAATCAACCGTTTCTAGATGACGTAAACGGTGTAGTTGAAAATGTGAACTTTTCTTTTAGAATAGGCTCAAATATGTCGAAATTCATATGCAGGCATACTGTGTTTGTTAAAAACATCCATAGAAGCTATGCTTTAAAAAGAAACACAACGATGCAGATTTCGTGACGATTTTGCTTTACAAGTCGATGAAGTGCCTAAATACATATTTTTACATTGAACACACATAATCAGAACTTTGGAAAGAGGTCGTATGACATCGAAATTATATACAAATCCAAATACTAAGTATTCATTTACTTACTCTTGCATGGCTATGTACATTCAAGAGGAATCAATATTAATCTTAAACACCAAATACATTTATGCTTTAAAGCTATAGTCCATCATTTGTAATTAGTGCATTTTGTTCGTTTGAAGCAACAAAAGTGTTCAAAATCTAATGAAGGATACTGAACAACTTACTTGATGAAGTTTCAGCGCAGCTTCAGCTTCATATTCCGAGAAAAACAGCATTTTAGGATCTCAATTTAAAATCAAAAGTTGCTAAATCATGTTTCGAATTGTGTTAAATTGCAGCTTTACGCGATGTTGCGCACTGATCCAACGAATTATAGCAACCGAGGGCGCCTGTGCGTCGTTCCAATGCTTGTGCGCGCTGCGCCGAATAACAAAACGAACAACTAATTTATATTTTCCAACGGTGCTTCTTAAGACGCACCGTTGGAGATGCATTCTTTCGTTGATTTCTTCCAAGTGAGAGCTTGCCACAAAGGATAATTTCACAGGGAGTTTAGTCCCCTTACTATCTTTCAACCAGTATGTTTTTCAACAATAATTACGCCGGTTACTTTTTTGGATAGCTGCAAATGACGGACTCGGGCTTTAAGATGAATACGTTTGAACGCTAAATGCCTTCAACTCGCTAAAAGTCACAAACCGAATTGTATATTTGTGTTTAAAATTGCTTTTTCTCTAGCAGTACAAAAGGTATTATTCACTTTTGAGTGGGATATCCAATCATTATTTACAGATTTCAAAATATTTGCGGCTCCACATTTATTCAGTTCTGCCAGTGTCGACTGGTTCCTGCCCTCGTTTAGAATTTGACATTTGATGTTTTGTATTCGCTAAAAATGTAACACTCATGGGTCAGATATCGATGGGAGAAAATTGAACAGGTATGGGCAGCATATCTTTCAGGATAAAACGTTTTGGCTAATAAACGTTTTGGCTGATAAACGTCTTGGCTGATCATAATGCAGAACAAAAGCAGACTATGTGGATGCATCTTATAAAGGCTCACAGTTTGTGTTGTGGGCAATGGATATAGTGTTAGAGGTGTATTTCTGAAACTTCAAATATTCGAAAGACTCAGCTGGAGGTTAACCTTATTGTTGTGAGTGGTGATGAGGATGGTGTTTGTGGCATAATAAATAAACTTTCCCGCATTCATCATCGTGGTATGTGACATTTCTTTGGTCCTGTCAAAATGCACAAGTAAAATTCTAAGATAAAAGACGACTGTTTCATCGTCTGTGATTTAGGGCATATCAAATAAGTGTGTGCATGAACAGAGGTGCAAGAAATCACACCAGCACTGACTGCGGAACAGTGCACGGCGCAGTGGTAATCTTCAGAAAACTTGGAGTTTTGTGAAAGTAATTCGGAACAAAGTGTGTGCATAAATGATAAATCCCACAGCCAGCTGGTGTGAGAGGAGGGTCTTTTTTCTAATCTAAAACGTGGACCAGCTGTGTTCCTGATAACATTTTTGCATACTCACATGCCTGGAAATGTTAACATAATAGCAAATGAAAAATAAAAGTAGGAATTGTTGTTGCAACGCATGCTTATATCCATGTATGAATGTGTTTTTATTGATGCAGAATTGCAGACAGTTTAGACTAAACATCAACCGGCAAAAAAAGAAGGACCTTGTCGAATTCGGTTGTGGATCCTCCTCTTCTAAGTTATAGGCCTGGTATTTTCCACGATCACATTTTTTTTCATAGCTTTTGTCATATACAACTAAACCAAAAGAGTTTTAAGGATGAAGTGAAGAATGGTTTGTTTGGGAGCCTTTTTAAGCAGCGCTTTAAAGGCCACGTATTCTGAAAATAAAAAAAAAGAACCCGAAGTCAACCGCGTGTTTGCATTGACATGGAGTGACGTAATAAAATCATGAAGTCATTGCGTCAGTACCATAAATCCTGTTAAATTAATTCAATAACAACTCTCTGATCATTATAGGCCGTCAGCTGAAACTAAAAAAACAGGCTGTAAAACGAGTTCCGTTCCAGCAACACTGGGTCTACTTTTTCAATGCACATACATGTGTATGGGGTTCAGTGCATCACAAACATTATGTCAGAAGTTCTCCAGCAAATCTGCCGCAGTTCTCTTTTTACACTTTATCAAAGTTTGCCAATGTCATATACATATGACATATGCTAAAAACCCACGTTTTGCGGTTTGAGGCCTTGCTTAACTTCTTATTTCAAAACTTCAGCACTATAGCTTGTCAAATCCACACTCTAAAAAGTCCTGAGTGGGACTGACCCGCAAACTGAATCCAAATCTGCTGATCAGTCCTTTTCAGGGTCAAAAATTTACCCCTTTTGGGATGGGGGTCATAAATGACCTCTTTGGAGTAAAAAATTACACGTTTCTCGGTCATTGTGACTCGACCCTCAGAAATGTGTAATTTTTGACCCAGCAAAGGACTGAACAGATTTGGATTCAGATTCTGGGTCAATTCGACCCAGGAATTGTTAGAGTTAAACTGTGTTATGTATATTGGCAATTGGGTGACACAGCACATGACCCTTTGTTTTCTCATCTGGTAGACATCACCGGAGTCCCTCTCCCAAAAATAACTCATTATAATCTAACTTATTTGGTAGCATACAGCAATGCAATTATTTTTGACAGTTTATAATGCAGTGGGGGAACCAGCTCATCATTAATGAAAGTGAGGGGGTGCCCAAAATGGAGGTGTCTTTATAGTAAATAAATACATGTAACCAGCAAAGGAAACAGGAAAGCAGACAAGACATGCCCCCCCCCCCAAAAAAAAACCCAAAACGAACAAACACATGTAAAAAGAAAGAAAGAAGAAACAAAAAAATGGGGGCTGTGGCACCAAACCCTCTGGATCTGCTGGGTGAATCAGGTACATGTACGTCCCGTAAAGAACCTAACTTGTTAGAAAGACCACTGTTTTTGCAATGAAACAGGCAAACAATTATAAATCAAAGGACTGTCAGAAGTCAGAGTATGGTGTGATAATTTCAGAAATCAACCATTGTATTTGCTTTCAAAACAGCCCTGGCAATTTTGGTTCGGAGAAAAGTGGGGAGAAAAGTGTTTTGTTAAAGAAAATTTCAGCTATTTATATATTGATACACTGATTACCACCGAAACAAATGGTTTCATGTATATCAGTAAAAACTCATGCTATTGTGTATGATTACAATTTAAAGAGAGTGATTTGGCTCGTCATATGTTGCTAGTCTCACTGTTAATGTTCACAGAATTTACTTTTCTACTGGTCCTAATTTTTAATGTTGTGTTAATGTATAAAATGAAAAAAAAAATAATAATAATAAAACCAACACTAATGAACAGAAGGATACATGTAGTTGTGAAATCTGGAATTAAGTTACTCCGCGTTTCATTGAAATGCCTAATGCTAACTAGTCCTGCTGATAGAACTGCAAATTATTTTTATCACTACATCAAAGTTCTCATCAAATCTTTTGGAGGATGGAGCGTCGGTCTTGCTTTCTAAATCAAAAGTTTCAGTTTATGAATCCTCCTCTGAAGTCTCCAGAGATTCAACCACACTTCCATTTGACAATGTCGCAAATATTTACGGAAAGAGAGCTGCGGATATTCTCTTCTGAGCCGATATTTTAACTTATCAGTTCTGTAAAAAAGAAAATAGGAAAAATAGACAGGTTAGTATCGGATGATGCAAAACAAGGATTACTGTTGACGTGCTTTATACAAAAAGAAAATAACTTGTTCAATCAAGAGTTAAATTAATGGAAAGATCATGGGCTCGATCCTTTTGCCTTCCATTGTAAATATGTGAACACTGGTAGCTATTGAGAACCCACCTTTTCAGCCTCCAATGCAATATCAAGAAGTTTTCATTCTGAACATTCTATTAAAGTCTATTTTTTTTAGCACTCTGAACAATAGTCAAAACATATTAATCATCGCGGTTCTGTGCATTCACGGTGCTTCGTGGTGACCACAAGCTTTGTTTTTCGAGTTGCGTTTAGTCGTTTTTATCGTTGTGTTACTCCAAAGTTTCCCTAACAGAAATTAAAACCTTACCCTTAATTTAAGGCATTCCTATTTGAATTTAACATCACTAGTGGTATATAGTCATGATAGTTTTGATAGTCATGATAGTCTGTAGCTTTGCGTTTTCTGGCAGCACGCATGAGGCGTTTGTTTATAAACCGTCAGGGGACAGCCTTACATGCGCTGTAGTACAATACATTGCTAGCCTGGTGACTAGGCCCAAACGTCGTGGGTATGTTCGGCGATGCCACTGCAAAATTCAGCCCCTCTTTGGCAATTAACTTATAATATCCCCGGACATCAGATGCTTTGTTTTTTCCCTCAAACTTGACAGATTCTATATGCATTAAACAATTACATTTGCATCGGTCGATGTTTACGTTAAACGTTGACGCACCATGGACGCCGCCATGTTTGTTGAGTGTCATGACCTACGGCCTCCTATCTGATGTCTTATTGGACAGTTCACGTCACGTTTTACGATTGCGTCATACGCGAAGGATTTTTTCAACGTAGCGCGGTACGTTTTTGAGTGTCCACAATGCACAAATAGTTCGCTTTTTCGAGTCAAATTATCAAAAAACTGCAGGACGAAATGTGGAGAACTTCTACAATATCAGTCTTTGGTAGTGTATTTCGGTAGAGCTGTTAAGAAAATCTAGACCCGCGATTGCAGGAGCGAAACGAACGAATTTTAACATCCAGCTGACGGCCTACTACCCTCAATCTCACGGTGAGCTGAACAGTGAGCTGAACCAGTGTACCGCTGTTGACCTAATGACGTCATGGGGTCGCATGGCCATGATACATTTGCATGTAACCATTGTTTTTTTTTGCAATAAATCGAATAATTGCACAAAGAAACCAGGCAATCAACTTCCAGGGAAAAATATTGTATTGTGTGTAAATCCTGGGTTTGCATTTTTAAAATGAAGCATCAACGGGACGTATATAATGATACCCACTGACGTTTTATTTTATAGTAGGCGATGTCAAATAGCGCCTATTTGTTGTTATATAAAAAAGAACCCCGGAAAAACCCAATAGTGTAATCAGAATGGTGGAGCTAATTATAGCATTCTACGAATCGCAACCAGAATAGCTCGGGAATTTCCATATCTTTCCGCTCGTATTTCACATACAGGGGATTCCCGCCTAGTTGAACTTTACCGTAAGGTGTGTCGTTAGATTTATTGCCCTTAAAATATTGAGCCAAAGAGGACACTGCGCGTGCTCATTTAACAAATCTGCCAGGCTTTGTATAAAGGGTGTTAAAGTTCGAGTAGGATGACGCTATCCTTGTTGTGGCGTGTTCAGTTTGGGCTTAAACTGCTCGAATTAGTGACATAGCTAGGGTCCCATAATTTAGGGGGGAGGGCACCTGAGCGGGCGGGTTCATTCTCCGAAAGGATGCGTTTTAAACAATAAAATGCTCGTTTTGTCTTCCCAAATTCTGAATGTGGGGTGGGGGTGGGGGAGCCCGAGGGCTCGAGCACGCCGGGGGAGGGGGGTATACATGTTCCTCTCCTAGTTGTTGCACTCTCTCAAATATCAGTTACTAACAAACAGAGCAGTAGAGTTCAGATTTAATTGAGGCCAATTCTTACTGAGGCACCACTACATCAGGGCGCTTGTAATCGTTAACAACAAAAATTCCCCTTTTGAGAACTGAAAGAGCGTATCCTTGAACATATGCTGGCACAGTTTGTCTGTTTCTGTTTGTTGTTTACATCTGACACGAAGATGCTGCAATGTCCCGATAAATGTCCCGATACCGGCACATGTATTGGTTGGCGTGAAGCATAATTGTATTGGGATATGCAGGTTTTGCGGTCGTTGTGAGAAAAAAAACCACACACACACGGAGCGGAAACCGTCATGTCCATAGGGGTGCGAGTTGTACGAGGTCCGGACTGGAAATGGGGCGACCAGGACGGAGGGAAGGGCTGCGTAGGGACCGTGGTCCCAGCAGAGTCCTCGCAGAGTGGTAAGTGTAACCATTAAGTAAAGAAATGTCCATGTCTTTGTAGGCTATGCCCCGGAGCTTGAGTTTGAAGCGTGTATGACAGAGTGTATAGTGCGCAGGTGTACAATTTCCACAAAGTGCCCCAAGCCTATTTTTGGTTCAGACCACGGATTAATACAGACTGTAGAATCTCAAAAGCAAATCCTGTATTTTGACGACGAGGAGGGACATAATTGGAAGTGGGCATTTTAATTCCTCGATCCCCTCTTCTTCAAAGTTTTAGCCTGCTTTAAAGGGAATGTCCATCATTGGCTTTTGCTGTAATTTTCAAAAATGAACTATTTGAGGGGTGAGTATAATAAATATCAAATATTGTTACACTGATATGTTTGAAATTTTGTGTTCGAAAATGCTGGAAAAACCAAGAAAAACAAAAATGTTCAGATAGTCTGGTTCCCTGACTCCTTTAAAGATAAAATGGATCAATTTATGGGTGCCAGAAAATTGTAAGGTAAGGGAACCAGTCTAGCTGCTCTGCACCCGTTAATGAACATGAAACAAATAGCAAACAAAATTTAGACTAAAAAAAGGGTAAATTTGGAGCAGTAGTAGAAAAATAGTTTGGTCGGCCGACAACCGTTGGAAATGTATACAAAAATACAATTTTCTTGAAAATGACTTCACACCTGTTGCCATATTTTTCAGGATGCTTTAGACTGTCGTTTACCAACATCCTAGTAAGGTATTTTGTAAAAACTTGGTAGTTTTATTTTTCGATGTTTGCCAATGTTGTATATTCCCTTTAAGCCTTTCTTCTTATTGGAGACACAACTTGTCATGTTTTCAGCCAAGGGTGTCTGGGTGCGATGGGACTCGGGCAGGAAAGCAAACTACCGCCCTGGTGGAGAAAAAGGCACTTACGATCTGCGGATTTACGATAACGCCCAACTAGGTAAGACGCGGATTTACAGTGGTTGAGCCCCAGTTTTTAGTAATAGTTTTTTTCATACCCCTCCCCCAAGTCCACGTTAAGTTTCAGCCGCACTCAGTTCCACTGCATGTGTGCGATTCCTACTTTTTGGGGGCTTTAATGGTTGATAGAGTATCGTTGAATGCATATGGTTGCCTTACCAACACGCACTGACAATTCATGCACAGACAAAGGCAAGATGCGGGACCGGATTGTTAATCATGTCATTAGTTGAACCAAAATATTTTAAGATGGAATTTTAAAAAAAGATTGAACCAAAATGTCCACCAAAATCAACTGGGTAACAGTTTTCAGATGAAATCGTGTATACAAAAAGGACACTCTTGCTGAAAAGAAAATAACCAAAAGTACACCTTCCTTTTTCTTATCAAAATAGAAAACCAAGCCATCGAATCTTCTTTTGGTGTGGTTTTCTTTTGAAGGTGGTGGGGGGTATATTTAATTTAAAGCAAGGTAACCTCTTCTTTTTTTGGAAAGTGCGAGTTGAGAAAAGAAAGCAGTGAAATAAAAATTCATTACAAATTAACACAAGCCTGCTATGGTGAATAATTTAAAATGTGTGATCAAACATACCCCAATGTTTTAAGCAACGTTTACACCAGAATTGAATGTGACGTTTGGAGTGCATTCCGATCACAAACTGGTCTGGCACCATCCCATTCAACAGTTTACAATTTGTAAAATAAATTCAGTGAACACAATCGAAAATGGCTTCCTCGTGCATAAGGCCAATTCGTCAGAGTTTCGTTTCGTAAAGGTCATAAAATATTTTGTTTAGGAGTGAAACATCCGCATATCAACTGTGACTGCTGTCCAGAGGAAGGCATCGTCGGCATACGCTGGAAATGTCTGGAGTGTCATGACTTTGACTTGTGTCACAGCTGCTATAACAAAGGAAAGCATGACCTGGGTCATCGCTTCACCAGGATCGAAACCAACTCAGTTCCGGGGTAAGTTGGTCTGGTGTTACATTAGGTGATCGTATGGAAGTGTAGATAGGACATGGTTAAAAATAAAACTAATTCGTACGTACGAATTACTAAACCGTACGTACGAAATACTATTTCGTACGTACAAAATACTAATTCGTACGTACGAATTACTAAACCGTAAATACGAAATACTAATTCGTACTTACGAAATACTAATTCGTATGTACGAATTACTAAACCGTACGTACGAAATACTAATTCGTACGTACAAAGCACGAATTACTAAACCGTACGTACGAATTACTAAACCGTACGTACGAATTAATAAATCGCACGTACAAATTACTCGGTGGCGTAGCCACGGGAGGGGGGGGGGGCGTGGGGGCAGTGGCGTAGCCAGGAATTTTTCAGTGGGGGGGGGGGGGGGGGGGGGGGGGGCGGGGGGGGGGGCTGGAACATTTCATGAGGGGGGGTGTCATGTAGATCGATGATAATTTTTTTAGAAACTCAAAATCTCAGTGGGGGGGGGGGGGCGACTGTTTGGCGACAAGGTTTCATGGGGGGTGGGGCTGTCACCCCCACGCGCCCCCCCCCCCCCCCGTGGCCACGCCACTGCGACAGCCCCCCCCCTTGAAACCTTGTCCCCCCAAGTCGCCCCCCACCCCTCCCACTGAGATTTTGAGTTTCTAAAAAAATTATCATTGATCTACATGACGCCCCCCCACCTGAAATGTTCCAGGCCCCCCCGCCCCCCCCCCCCCCCCTGGAAATTTCCTGGCTACGCCACTGGAATTACTAAACCGTACGTACGAATTACTAAATCGTACGTACGAATTACTAAACCGTACGTACGAATTACTAATTATTTCGTACGTACGAGTTAGTAATTCGTACGTACGAGTTAGTAATTCGTACGTACGGTTTAGTAATTCGTACGTACGGTTTAGTAATTCGTACGTACGGTGTAGTAATTCGTACGTACGAATTAGTAATTCGTACGTACGAATTAGTCATTCGTACGTACGAATTAGTAATTCGTACTTACGAATTAGTAATTCGTACGTACGAATTAGATTTATTTTTAACCATGTCCTATCTACACTTCCATACGATCGTGTGGCATTAGACCTAAGAAATTTTCTGTACTTTTCAATAAACAAATGTGATACAGTCCTCTCATCCCAGTGGTTATTATGTTTTGATTGTCATCCTTTCACCAGATCCGTAGGGCTTCCGTTCTCTGGTCTGGTATCCAGACTAAATGATTTCAAACTATTTTGACAAATCTTAGGTGAGGATCCTGCAAATTTCCAAAAATGTCCGGACGTTAAACGAATACACTTCGTTGACAATCGCATAGTTTCGCAATAGCTCTGGTATTTTCCGATGTGAAATAGTGATTAAAAAAATAATACCTATACTGCTTGTTTTCATCTTTTGAAAGTTGTGAGAGTTCAAAAATTCATTGTTTGCATTTAAGAGTTTCAGTGCTAGGGCTATTATCCTGTATTATGTCTAATGTGGACGTTGCACCTCAAGTATGAATTCGTACCAGGACTGGACGTTAATTGCTTCGCAATGCTATTTTTGTGGCGGTTACCCGACCTATATGTATGCTCTATTGTGAGACATCAGGAACGTCTGGACTGGGAACAGTGGTGTAGCCAGGAATTTTTCAGTGGGGGGGGGGGGGGGGGGGGGGGGGACATTTCATGGGGGGGCGTCATGCGTCAATCGCTTCTCAAAAGTGGGGGGGGGGGGGGGGGCGGACATACCTTGATCAGAACTGATGCGAGCGCGAAGCCCTTACGGCGTGGGGCTCGGGGCCCGCTTAAGGGCCCCGAAAAAATTGGATTCTCGATGCTCTGTTGTGTGATCTGAGGCAATTTTAACCACTTTAACCAATAATTATCTTAGCAAAAAAGATAACATATTTTTCCAGGTTTTCTCAGCTAAAGGCATAAGAAAAAAGTTTGAACATTGTTTTCGAGGTTTGAGTCATTGAGGCCGCTTAAGAGCCCCGAAAAATTTTGGATTCTAAATGCTCTGTGGTGCTATCTGAGGCAATTTCTTACCCCTTTTAACCAATATTTTCTAAGCAAAAGATACATTGTAGTACATGATAGGGCCCTGTAAATGAGACACGAGTTCAAAAATGTGTGGGGGGGGGGGGGACCATTTGATATTGTGTCCCCCACCCTTCAAAAAGTGGAAGGGGGGGGGGGACATGTCCCCTGTTCCCCCCAGGATTGACGCCCATGGCGTCATGAAGATCAATGATATTTTTTTAGAAACTCAAAATCTCGGTGAGGGGGGGGGGGGGGGAGACTGGGGGGGGGGGGGACAAGGTTTCATGGGGGGGGGGCGGTATTGCCCCCCCCCCCAACGCCCCCCGGTGGCTACGCCACTGACTGGGAACCAGACTAGCAGGTCCTTACAAAGCATGGACGTCTAGGACTACCCTGGATATAGGCCTATCTGGGCACGGTTCAAAAGTACTGATTTTCTTCTACAACCGAATATTGTCACTAAACCTGAATTATATCAAACGACTGAAATAATATAGTTTCACGAATTCAACTGACGCAAGCGCATTATGTGCAGTGACTGGTTGCAGGGCAAAAACGTATAGTTGATGGCCTTGGTATCCAGAGCAGAAAGATTCATATCTTGTGTACTCAAACATCATACATTGTACCAGCTGGTCCGATCCGAGTTGGACTTCGGAATGCAAATAATGTCTGGGTGATAAAGGAAAACAATGACAACAAGATTACATGTTTCTAAATGTAGCCTCATGCAGCAGTCTGTCCATCGGAATAATGTTATCATGTTGATTCAGTAGAAATGAAAACTTCTCAAAACTGCAGTATTTTATCAACAAACGTGTTTTTTTTATCACCGAAATGCATTCAAATTCGTAGTATGTATTCATGCCATTTTGTTAATGCTGCTTAATTCTTTGGTTCTTATCCATTTTCATGACGTTAAATATCAAATATTTATAGGCATTCAAAACTGTTGGCCAACACATCCAAATTGTAAATGGCGTCATGCTCATTTTTCTATCCGTAACCCTCACCGTAACCCTGTAACCCTTACGTTATATACGGGAATAACACAATTGTAAGTGCGGGTTGTCGGAACATAGGAGTGTGAGAACATAATGATTATCGGAACATTGAGCTGTCACCGATAAAAGTGGCCCAAGAAAACATTTGAAACATTACCAAAGAGAAGTTTTCCTGATGGTAGACAAGTGCCGAACATATACCCCGATGTCTTCCACGTCAAGAGATCGATGAGTGAATCGACGATGATTAGAAAAAAATATCACATAATTATTATATTTATTCGTTGAAACGCCATTTTTCGTGACCCAAGCATCAACAGTGCCAAAGATCGGTATTGCACCTGTATTAGTTTACAGACATGTTATGAATTCAGACCATACAGTCAATTTTGAGGTGACCTCTGACCTCTTTCTTCCTTGTTTTATTGACAGACACAACATGAAGATATTGGAAATCTGTGTGTCTGTTTAGAATATGGAAAATGTATATAATTATGTCAAGCAACTATTCACTCTTGTGAACTTATTATACACTATTGTATCCAGATGGACTTGGAAAACCACGTTTTTAACCTTTCTATCAAGCCCAATGGTTACTGTTAGGGAGTCACGCTCGTCCGCTGTGGCTCTTAAATTCTGTTCCGCCTGCGTCTGCCCTTATCGAAAGGAAAATTGAGATCAAAGGTCATGTAACAAATTCTTCTGGGTCTAACTTCATGAACATGCTGTAGAATAATTAGTAAAATACACACTTTGTGCACTAAAACTATAGATCTTGGTCATGAAAAAGTGGCATAACGGTGGTCAGTGTATACAAAGTTCATTGACCTTTCATAGATCATCAGAGGTCTATTATGTAATGTCTACGTATCTGTAAATTCATATAATGGCAAGTTTACCCAAATTTTAGATATTGGTAATGAAAAAGTGGGGTTTTAATAAGTTAATCTTCATATTATCTATAAATAGGATACGCAGAGTTCATTTACCCCTAGAAGGTCATCAGAGGTCAGATATGAAATCCCTATATGAATTATTTTCATAGCATTAGCAACTTAACATTCTGACTTGGGTCTTGAAAAAGTTGGGGTTAAAAGGGTATATCGCACAATAACTATAAATAGAGTATACTGCAGTTTGAATAGGTTTTCCCGCACATTTTAAAACTTTTTTTATTTAAATTCAGAAACCGTTTATTTCAATTTCTTTTCGAGAAGACTGGAACGCGCAAATGCTACAATGAATTTAGTCGTTGGTCATTCCAAATGATCAATGAATCAATCAATTGTAAATTTCTGTCCGTTCGATGTCGTTAGATTTTAATGGAATTCGTCCACCTGATGATCATCTACACAATGTAGATGACACTCGTTGGGCATCCAAGGGTAATTTCTACATCAACTATACAATTGTACCTCAATATCAAAGAATAAACTGACATCAAATGGTATATTGCCATGAAATGATTTAAGGGTAGATTTGAAGGATTCAATCACGTACACTTCATTCTTCCACAAGGAAAATGAAACAATGTCTTTTTAGCACCTATATGTAGAACATCGAAAGCTCCCCCCATATTGATGGTTCCCCCTTTTTTTATGCAATCATTATAATGAAACCTTGAAGGGTCTCACTTAACACAGTGTCTTGTGTTCCATGAAGGTAATGTACTTGTGTTTGGTAGTTTTATGTTATTTCTATAATTATGTTTAGGGATAAGCTTGAAAACTTTTGCTTCATTATTATCCCTACATGTTGGTAATTAATCAATTAATTATTTAATTAATTATTTGTGTAAATATTTGTAATTTAATACATACTATTATGAATATCAAATTTTTGTGTTGCAAATGTATACCTTTTACCAACATGAAATAAATGTTGAACTCTAAATGTAAGGATTGAATTCGTCTTTGTTCAATCGATTTCAAGAAACTTTCGATCAAATTCGTCAGACAAATGCGCACGCTGGTACAACCATGCACAGACTTATTTAGCACAGTGCATTGCAAGACAAGAAATTGAAGGTTTATAACTAATCCAAAGGACAAGAAGAAGAACTGACTTGACTGTTTCCGAAAGATGTGAAAATATGAATGCATTTTACTTTTTATATGTACATAATTATAGGCTTACTTACTTTTTGCATGAAATGGAAAGTATATGCATTTTCATTTGCCTGTGTATACAATTTTTCTTTCAGTTGTTGACGCTTAAAATTGTCAAAGAACTAAATGGATACAGAAATAAGTATTGAAAAAGATTACAATTTTGCATAATAATTATTACATGAAAAATGCTTATTTAAGGTTATAGATCTACGTTAAACAAGGAAAATGTAAACTAAACAGACACAAACAGAATTGAGTAAATAAAGTAGAAATGAACATATGGAAACGTAAAAGTACCGAAGATAGCATTTGCAGACGACGAAATTGAATTGTCTTTCACGAAAATGTATGGCTAAGGTATATAATTGTTTGAATTAAGTGCGAAATGAGCGACCAGAGACGAAATTGAACATGGGGTATGCAAGATCATGAATTTTCAGGACGAATTTGAAGTAAACCGTTGATGAATTTGAATGATTTTTTCTAAATGTGCGGGAAAAGTTATACAAAGGTCTTTGACCTCTGGAAGGTCATGAGAGGTGAATTTTCCGCGCTTTTGGCCGTTATTTACTTTATGAAGACTATACATAGACTTAGGTTCATGATGTTTTCAAGAACAATAGGGATAAATAGAGTATTAAAAGGTCATTGACCCCTCAAGGGTCAAAAGGGTCAGATATGAAATGCCTCCACATCTGAGTTTTTGTCACGGTACAAAGACCTCACATGCTAAGTTTAATGCTTTTATCACACAATGCACAACTATGTCCCTATGCCGCACCACTATAAAACAAATTTCTTTGAAGAGCTCAATTGCGGGAAATCGGCTGCGACGTTCATGGATCATGGATTTTGTTTCGTTTCAGGGTTGAGGTTCCATGTCGATTGAGCGTCACCAAATGCCGCTCTTTAGGCATTTTCCCAGGAGCCCGAGTGGTGCGAGGGCCCGATTGGGAATGGGGAGATCAAGATGGTGAGATGATTAGAAGGAACTTGCAGATATCTTTTCACAGAAGGCTGAAGATGCATCAACTTTTAATGAGGGAATAAATGCACAAGGGCCTGCACATGGATGGTGGCCCGAGCCAAAGGAGACTTTTCCCTTTGACGTCAATTTATCAATCTCCATAAATTGTTATGGATATGCAGTGCCAATTAAACAAAGGCCTTTTGTCTGTTGTGATTTCCTTAAAAAAGTAAATGAACCAGAAACATTTTTTGCACATTAATTATCCAATTCAAGGTTCCACAAGCGCGCCAACAGGAGTGAACTTTAATGTTTTTATACCGACGTCGTATAAAAATGGGACTGCTACCAAATTGGGACTCATTTAACCTTTTTATTGGTTTAACCCTCTCACCTGACTGGACACTCTAGTAGATATCATACTTACGCATGCGCAATACTAGCTGAGTCCGTGTTTCAAACAGTCTTAAATTCACGCTAGACCAAAAGTACGTTTTTATTTCCATTATGAACTTATTATTAAATTACGGCTCATATCAACAAAAGTTGTTTGTTCATTATTTTTATTATGAAAACATATATCATCAATCAGCTAGATTATATTACTGCAAATAAGGACAAATACCAACAACTCTGCCAATTCTCTTGTGTAACAAAATACTACTCTCTCTGTTATCTTGTAATCTTCTTCTTTCTATCATAAAATTGTCCGTTTTAACATTTTCCCGCTTGCGGTAATTTTGATAGGAGGAGAAGGGAAAATTGGTACCGTGAAGGAAGTGATTGGCGCACAAGGAACTCATCGGTCCTGGGTCAAAGTTCAATGGCCCAACCGCTCTACAAACCAGTACCGGCGGGGTCACGGAGGCAAGCTGGACGTACAATACACGCAAGAAGACACCGCTGGGGAATTCTACATGGAGCATCTTCCGAGGCTCGGTAAGAAATAATGAAGTTGTACCAAACTGGATTGGAGTAGCGATTTAGGAATACTTCTCGCAGTAGTTTAAATAAAAAGAGAAGTGATATGTGAATGACTTGAATATGTGCAATAATGCAGTGGCGTAACTGGTGCATGGTTGGGGAAGGGGGAGGAGCACGAAAGGAGCACACCCCCTTACTAAGGCTTACACAAGTGGCCCTAAGGCTACCAACCTTGTCCTCGTAGCGTCGAGCATTACGCTCCCCAGCTGCTCACGTGCACTGGAACTAGATCATTTTGCATTTTGAAAATCTTGCATTTAGTACGGTGAGAGTGGGGTAATCCGAAAAACTTTTCTTTGGTGCTTCTTGTAACAAACCGAGGGAGTGTTTTCCAAAGATTGATACGTCAAACCAAAGTACAAGTCATGTCCTAAAAGTAAGCATAATTCTATTGTCCTTCTCTACATTCATTCAGGTCGTTATAACTAAAATAAACACCATTATGTCGTTCGGGTCCACCTGCACTACAGCAGTAAACACTGGTGAACATAAAAATCCTCTTTTTTTGTCTTGCACTGACATAATTGTAATGCATGCAATTTCATATCAAACTAGCTGACCATGGAATTTTAGAAATGCATACTGTTGAGAAATTGTCAGAGATTCGAGAGGCTCATGAAAGCCATGGACAAGAAAAAGATCTTTGAATCGAGAACGCCTTTCAATTCTTTCTTTCTTTGATTTTTGCGCCAAATATAGTTCGTCCTGACTTCGACTCCGGAGATAAGGTCCGTCTGCTGGACATAGACCCTGGGATTCTCAAGGAACTGCAGAAAGTAAGGTGTGGCTGGAACGAACAAATCAAAGAAGTAAGTTCAATATCAACGTATACAGCGGACAATGAACTGGTGAAAGCCACTAGCGCTTTTAAATAAAGAGGTAAATTGTTTGTGCAAGAAAGTGTATTTGTTTTGCACAACCTATATACTAGGTTCAGTTATTGCATAGTGGAGTTATGAAAGTATTTGACACCAAAATACAAGGGGAATGGTTAACGGTCTAAATGCTGAAGCTTTGGTTGCTCTACTCAATGCAGAACTTTGCGGGGAAATCTGTAAAACAAAACAGGATGACATGTTTAAAACGTAGTACCTATTTTTATGGAAGCTGGAACTACTTCATTTTTGAAAGGCTACCGGTATGTATATCATCATTATAACATCATACAATTATAACATCAATTTGTATATTAATGAACAATGTTGAATAAATGTCTGATTGAAAAAAATGGAATAAAAAAAAAGGCTATGTAGCATTACACTAACTATAAGTTCTCTCCTGATTTATGGCTTTATAATTTACAGCAAAGACTAAGTGCAGTCCGAGAATCACTCGGTTGACATCTGACGCATGCACACAATGGTCGACTTCCACTGTTATTGTCCAGAGGAAAAATGGCAACAATTTTATGTTTGGAAAAAACAATATAAGTTCTTGAAAACATACCAATCTAGGTATTTCAATTTGGTCCCGTAGTACAGAGGCAAAGTCGGTGAAGTCATCGTGGTCGACAAAGATGGCGATGTCAAGGTCAACTTTGGCGGAGCGTCGTTCTTCATCAATCCCCTGTGTCTCGCCATGGAGAAGAAGAAGGGAGCTGAAGATACTAAAGCCGGTGCTGGAGGTACATGAGATAAGCTAGAAATGTGGTTCTGGATAAATTATGATTGTAAAATGTAAAATGTTTGATGACATCCACAGAGTTGCGCATTGGGTTTTAGGACCCCACACGAGTTGCATTCTTAAATAGATTGGCTGCCTTTTTGAAGCCGATAAACAACTGTGAAGGCAACTTTTGATTGCAATTTCAAATTCTATCGTTTCAGAACTCAATGCAGTTGAATTACTTGCCTCTCTACTATCTAAGACCAAAGTGGATAAAAACGAGGAGCTGCGTCGTGAACCGGATGAAAGATCGAGCGGTAAGGCTCTCTTTAATGCGGCAGCTAACGGCGACACCAACAAAGTGCGAGAGATTCTCATGAATCATCCCGATGCGGTAAGAGGATTTCAAAGCTCGCGCCTGTATACCATGACTCTTATGTGAAGAGATTAGTCCTATGGTTCGAAGATGTAGTGTACAAATATAACATGATATGACGGTGGACAGTCAATACTCGCTCCCCGGTTTGGAAGTTGACACACTGGCTCTTCGCCTTGGGAACTAGTTTGTCAACTTCCAATACAGAGGAGAGCTAATATCTACTTTTTACCCGAAATAAACCCGAAATAAACATGATCAACTCAAAAGAAAGTTGCCGACATCATTCATGCCTTAGGGGCCTCCAAGGCTACGGGTTCCCATCACTGGTTCCCATTTATCTGCTACCACTCTGTACACCGCTTCAGCTGGCGGGCTAATTCACGTGAGAGTTGCTTCAGGCAGCCAACGGCCGGCGGAGGAGGTCCTTATCTGACTCAACGGCCATATGTAAAGGAGTCATCCTTTTAAATCAGGAGTGGAGTCCCGAAAGCGGACCTGTGCCTTGCAAACACCGTTTCGTCAGCTCCTGCAGCCAAGCTGGTGCCAAACGTCATGCTCTGCATTCCTTTAAATCCCATTAGCCCTGGAGAGGCCACTCCAGCCTCACTCTCATGAGAGGAAACAACAGGGAAGCTGGCAGATATGGGTTATTAGTCCCACCAAATTGGCGTAGGGAACGGGGCGCCACGGGTCAGCTTCGACGGTGGGAGGGACATTGGCCGACTACCTCCCGCCTCAAGCTGGGCAGCCCCCGGTCAGTAGGATGTCGGCCAGCCAACGTCTGCCTGCTTCAGTGGGTGTCAGGAGCTTAGTGTACTGTGTAGACATGACAAAGCAGACGGTAAACCCCGCACCAGACAAAATACAGGAAAACAAAGAAAACGATTACCACAATTAAGACTAGTAAGGCTATTAAGAATCCAACTAGCAGACTTGCAAGCTGGAACGTGCGCACCATGCGCACGGGCATCTCCGATGACCTTCAAGAGGTAAACGACACCAGTAAACAGCCACAACACCAGCATAGCTGCCCTCCAAGAAACCAGGCTCGCCTCTAACGGCTCCCTCAGAGAGGAGTACTATACCTTTTCTGGAAGGATAGAGAATCCAAGGATCCCCGCCAGCATGGAGTTTGCCCCTTGGCTGCGGTAGAACCTTCCTCGGGAGGCACCGAGCGCCGTTTGTCCATCCGTCTTGGCACTGCTGCAGGTTCTGTCAACATCTTCAGTGTGTACGCCACAAAGAGAAACAAAGGATCAGTTCTATGGACAACTCAATGAACTGATCAAAGGATCTCCAAAAGAGGCGCCCCTTTTCCTCCTCGGCGATTTTAATGCAAGAGTAGGTGCGGATCACGGGTCAGGGCCTACGTGCCTGGGACACCATGGCACTGGGAAGATAAGCGACAACGGTCAAAGACTGCTGGAACTGTGCTCGTTCCATAATCTCAGCCTTACGAAAACCTTCTTTGAGTGTAAACCATCACACAGAGAGTCGTGGAAGCACCTTCAAGTCTCTTTACTGGCACCAACTTAACCTGATTATCACCAAGTGCTTTGCTCTCGACATTGTCAACATCACCAGAACCTACCATAGTGCAAACTGTCAAGGTGGAAAAGTACGTGTCCACCCTGGACCAAGCTCTCCAGGACTGCCAAAGCATGACACCACGGTAAAGTGGAATGCCACGAAGAACGCCAATTGCTGCACAGCAATGTCCACATTTGGCAAGAATGAACGGCCAAGCAAGGACTGGTTTAACGCATACCTTCCAACGATTGAACCAGAAATCGAGGCTAAACGTGAAGCCTTCTTGTTACACAAGAGATGCCTAAACAAACATACACTTGCAGCGCTGAGAAGTACTCGCAGCACAACACAACGTACGCATTACAGTCTGCTAACGAGTACTGGCAGCAACTGTGCGAAGAAATCCAGCGAGTCTGGAAACGTCTGCAGCACGTACAGAGGCATTAAGAAAGCCCTGGGCCCTGCTGTGAAAGGGATTGCCCCTGACATCTCTGTCAGGAGAAAAGATCACCTCTGTCAGGAGAAAAGATCACTGACCGCGAGAAACAAATGGCCGGATGGATTGAGCACTAATCAGATCTGTACTCCCGTGAAACGTCAGTCTCCGACGCTGCCCTCAGTGGTGCAAAGGATCATACCTATCATTGAGGAGCTAGACGAAGTGCCCACTATGGAGGATCTGAGCAAAACCATCGACTCCCTCTCGGATGACAAGGCACCGGGTATCGATAACATCCCACCTAAAGCCATGAAGCACGGAAAATCTGCCCTGCCTCTGCCGCTGTACGAGCTACTCTGCCTCTGCGGGAAGAAGGTGCAGTACCAAAAGACATGCGTAATGCCACCATTGTGACACTTTACAAGAACAAGGGCGACCGCAGTGACTGCAACAACTGTAGATGGATCTCCCTTCTGAGTATCGTTGGCAATGTGTATACTCGCACTCTCCTCAATAGGCTGCAGCAACTCGCGGATCGCGACTACCAACAATCCCAATGCGGCTTCAGAGCAACCGACATGGTCGTCTGTCTCCGCCAGCTCCAAGAAAAGAGCAGAGAGCATGATGTGCATAGACCTCACCAAAACCTTCAATCTAGTTAGCAGGAAGGGTCTAGCCAAACTTCTTAAGAAGATCGTCTGCCCCCCGAAACTGTGCAGCATGGTGATCTCCTTCCGTGCTGATTTGCAGGGAACAGACATGTATGATGGATCCAACAGTGGTGTCGATTCCTCAAGCAGGGCTGTGTACTGGCACCGACCCTTTTCGGGATTTTCTTTTCTCTGCTCCTGTCGCATGCCTTTGACTCGTCCACGGACGGTTTCTATTTGCAGACCAGGTCTTACGCGAAGCTGTTAAGCCTGGTAAGACTGTGCTTAATGACCAAGGTGAGGACGATGCTCGTCAGGGAGATGTTTGCTGACGACGCAGCCCTTGTGACCAAAAACGATGATGCCCTCCAGAGACTTGGTGGGAGATCGCTTCGCCGACGCTTGCATGCGGTTCGGTCGCACCATAAGCCTGAAGCAAACTAACAACAGTGTACAAGGCTTCAGTACTGCTCCCTCCATCAGAATCGACAACGTCGTCCTGGAAGATGTAGACGAATTCACTTACCTGATATCGACATTCAGCAACAACGTTTCGCTGGACGTGGAACTTGACAGACGGCTTGGAAAGACAAACACCATCTTGGCTAGACTGACAACAAGAGTGTGGGAGAACGAAGCGCTAACAGGAGACATCAAGATCCGAGTCTACCAAGCCTGCGTTCTCAGCACCTTACTCTACGAAAATGATTCCTGGACCATCTTCATTAGGCAAGAGCAAAACCTCAATGCCTTCCATATAGTGTCTCAAGCGCATCCTCGGAATCAGCTGGCAGGATCACATCCCACACAGTGACATCCTACATGGCTGGGACATGTCCGATGCATGGAGGATGAGAGGCTGCCAAACGACATGCTGTACGGATAGCTGGCTACTGGCACCAGACGGGTCAGTCGCCCCTCATTCCGTGGCGTCAGACAGTCTACAAGGACATCGTAGATGCGGACGTGAGGAGAGGTCAGCTCGCAGCAGAACAAGAGGGTCCGGAAGAAGCGTGCGAAAGCAGCCTTTGCAACCCAGGCTTCTCCGTACGTCTGCACCAAGTTCAACAGGGACTGTCACTCGAGCATTGGTCTGTACAGCCACACCAGACGATGCCAAGACCCTTCAAACAGGCAACACTGCAGGGGTGTATCGAGCATGGTCTCCGGAGACTGAGCTGCTACTGATGATGAAGATGATTGTCCGAATCAGTGTTTCCTTCATCTTTTAAAATTATATTTGCTGTCCCATCTTCAAGGGTGATGCATGTAGAGCGTTCTAAATGTACTTATTATCGTCATATTAGTCTGCTTCCACAATTAGTTAAGTGGTAGAGAACAATTCTTGAAGCACAACCGTTTTCTATCTGCATAGTCACTTGTGGTGTTCCTCAAGGCCCGGGCATTGGTTGGATTCTTTTTCTTGTATATATTAACGATCTGTCCGATAATGCTTTGCCTCATCTTGCTAGTACATCACTGAAGAGTCAACCCTCTGCTGTGTTTCACACCTCCAACACGTCTCGCAGTGAGGTGGTCAACTCATATGACAGAGAAGGTTTTGAGATTCGGTGATAACCTTCAACAAAAATAGATACCTATTCCTTTCTCGCTCAAAAGGTTTTACATTTCCTTCCATTCATATGGGTTCATCGATGCTGCCTTTAGCATCGGACTTTACGACTGCTGCGGCTTGAAGCTGGGAGAAGTATTTTATCGAGCTCAGAAGTTTTTACATCCTGATGCCATTAGACAACTATACGTCCCGTGACAGAATACTGTTCCCACATAATTATGGACCGGGGCTTCTGCCTGCCTTTTATCTCTATAAGATCGGGTGCAGAAGCGAATCTTTGGATTGGTGAAGAGTCGGACTCACAATACAACCCCTCTTCAACCATAGGTCTGTAGCCATCCTCAGTTTGTTCTACAGAAAATCCCATGGAGGTTGTTCCTCTAGTTTGATTCACTTGGTTGCTCCTGTCAGGGTGTTTGAGCGTGCAACCAGGCTCTCTGCTTCCTCTCAGCCATACACTCTAGCTGTGCCGAGATGCAGAACCAAGAGCTACTATAATCAGGCATGCAAGTTGTTCCATCAGTTTGTTTGACTTGGTTGCTCCTGTCAGGGTGTTTGAGCGTGCAACCAGGCTCTCTGCTTCCTCTCAGCTATACACTCTAGCTGTGCCGAGATGTAGAACCAAGAGCTACTATAATCAGGCATGCAAGTTGTTCCATCAGTTTGTTTGACTTGGTTGCTCCTGTCAGGGTGTTTGAGCATGCAACCAGGCTCTCTGCTTCCTCTCACCCATACACTCTAGCTGTGCCGAGATGTAGAACCAAGAGCTACTACAATCAGGCATGCAAGTTGTTCCACCAGTTTGTTTGACTTGGTTGCTCCTGTCAGGGTGTTTGAGCATGCAACCAGGCTCTCTGCTTCCTCTCACCCATACACTCTAGCTGTGCTGAGATGTAGAACAAAGAGCTACTCTTTAGAACTAATAGCTTTTTGCCACGCTCTTTATCTCTTTGGAACTCCTTGCTTATTGGATGCTCCCCTCCAATCTATGATCTAGCCCGTTTTAAAAGGAATAGCTTTCCTGAACATAATTTTTTTTTTCATATTTGTTTGTCTAGCCCTGTGCCAAAAGCAGCTTTTTTTCAGCTTTGCTCGGGAAATTTTGCTATTAAAAAAAGGTTTTAAAATGGACGTCTTTGTCTGGACCCCCTCATTTATATGACACAGTCACTATCTCGTGCCCCCTTCCATTCCAGAATGGGACGGAAATATCAGTGCCTCGAGTATACAAAGAATGGGTGTGTTACTTAAATTTCAATTTTAAACGTCCCTGCCCTCACAACCTATATAAGGTCTTCTCCCCGCCCATTTTGTTTATACTCAACAGATTTGTGACTGCTGCTAATTGATTGAAGTTCATTGCAGGGGCGGTGGAACGCTTTTCAAACTAGCGGGGTGGGGGCAGCACCAAAAAGGGGCACTTGCTTAGAAAGAGGGGCACTTCTGTCGGTGTGGAAGTGCAGGACACGACTGGGTCCCTTTCCTTTCCCTATAAATCTATATGACGAGGAACAATTATGAATACGTTGTCCACTTGGTTTTTTGTGTTTCTTTGACCCAGTTATGTAGAGAGACTTTGTTTTATCGCAAAAGGGGCACTGTTGCTTTTGATGGCCAGATCAGTGACCCTTTTTTTGCGTGAAGAGTACTTTTTTGGAGGGGGGGGGGCAGTTTACGATATTGAGAGGGAACACGATTTTAATCTTGCAAGTGGGGCACTAATTGTGCTTTCTAGGGGCAGTTTTCCATCTCGATAAGTTACTGCGAGAGGAGCACCATTTATCTCGAGAGGGCCCAAAATTTATTATTTTGAGAGGGGTATTTGTGCTTTCGATTTGAAGTTTCCACCTCGAGAAGGTGCACAATCTTGTTAATGCGAGAGGGCTACTTGTGTTTTTGAGAGGCAGTTTTGCATCAAAAGAAAGAAGACAGTTTCATTTGTAGCGCTATCACATGCTTTTATAGTGTGCGTATCGAGGGGCAGGTTTGTTTCACCTCAACGGTGCACTCTTTTTGGCCTGGAAAATCGCGGGGGGGGGGGGCAAGTGCCCCTCTCCTGGCCCCATCTCCAGGTTCCCCCGCCCCTGGTGCATTTTCATCCACTAATCATCCACCAATCATCCACTAATCATCCACTAATTGGGGTGAACTTTATACAACGCTTACATACAAGCATGTTGGAGAAACCCTGAAGTCCATGTTATATTTTCTAACCTCAGGTCCGATTTCAGAATGACAAAAGACAGACGGCGCTACATGCAGCCGTCCTTCGTGGTCACGTGGATGCGGTGAATGTACTGGCCTTGGGTAAAGTACCGCTGGAACACCCTGATGAGGCCGGAGACACTGCGTTGAGTTATGCCGTGCATGGGTGAGCAGGACTCCTCCTTCCCTTCCCTTTTGCGCTATGCAAAGGAATTTTGAATACGGGATTATATATTAGCGAGTTTGGCAAATAAGAATCCTTATAAAATGACAACTTCATATATTTAGTAGCATAACGGAAATCACATTTGCAGGATGGATTCAGGAGACCTCTTTTCCGCAGGTGGAGCACAATAGATTTGGTCATCGTTTCAAACGATGTATATGTGTTGCCTTTTTCAAGTTCTGGGTGGAGGATACGGGGGGGGGGGCACAAACCACGCTCAAGATTGTCTCCCCATGCCCTTTTAGTTGCATCACTAAGCTTTATTCACACATTTTACCTGGTAACATATTTTAAACAATTTTCTTTTCCTCTTAAAATGCATGTAATCTAATTGAAATCTTTTCTGAGGTTAACTTAAAGTAAAATTGTCCATGTTTTTCCTGACAACTGAGGGTGCTGTTAATGTGATGTCACTTAGGAACACACTCTTTCGTTAAGACATTTTTATTCAAATTATGCACCCATAAATTTGCCCACTCAAGAAAGTGTGCCCATTGACTTACTGTCGTGAACTGGGACAACAAAAAAAATCACCCCAAAACAAAAACACCCGAAATAGCTGTAACGCTGAGATTTCTACCTAAAATGACATCTTTGTTTGCCAAAACTGGAATTCCATTAGCATAAAAACCAAAAAGACATAAAAAATACCCTTGTAAATGGCAAATTTAAAATCAAAATAAAATTCAATAGGACTCAAAGATTCATTTCAAGAACTACAATAAAATAATTATATTACATGGGCCCTACAACGTTAAGGGACATGCGCTTTCTATAGATACTTCAGTTTAAAAAAGAAGTAATTTTTAATTTCTCTTTCTTCAATTTTAAAACGATGTCAGGTACATTGGCCTTTTCTTATTTTATACAGTAACAAGCCAGACATTATCAAAACTCTTCTCCTTGCTGGGAGCAACATAAACGCAGCCAACAACAAGGGTTTGACCCCACTCCATCTTGCTTCTCAAAAAGGTCACCAGGCATGCGCAGAGGCGTTGCTCATGAGCCCAAAGTGCGATGTCAACTATCAGGTAAGTTGATTGGTTATAAATTGCATGCATAATTGTATTCACATCATTATGTTAAAATTGTAACATAATAACACCTTTTTCAATGCACAATGAAGCTATTTCCCCAAAATGCTTAATAGAAAATGGACAATAAGCCAAATCGGTATTTGACATTGGAATGTGCGTAGGCTAGACTCAACAATTTTTACTTTTCAATTATAATGGAGAGATCATGGCAACCGAATCTGAATTTTCCAATATAATGCAATCAAAAAGACGATGGAATATTTTGTTCGCCGAAATTGTGTTGGAAAACAAAACAAGTCTAGAAAACACTCCACTGTCAAATTATGTGCTCAGAACAAGACAGTTTCTTTAATTCTGTTGGTAGCTGTTATGATTTTGCAAGCGTATGGCCAATTTTCACCGGAGGAAAATCCTGAAATCTCGATGTACAAAGTGAGGGGCGTAAATCCTGAGATGGGTTGGGTTATATCCTCCAGACATTTTGACCGGGGGGTGGGGGTGGGATAGTGGTTCATCGCCCACTTGTTCGTGTTGAGAAACAAAAAGAGCGGATTTTGAAGTATTTTTCGAACCTCCCTAAAACTAATGTACTCAATAGTAATGGAAAAGGGGGAAAAGTACGAAAGCTTTAAATGCGCCGTTTTGATGTAAGGTCAAGGCGAACGCAAACCTCGGGTTAATATTAGTTCTGCACGATTTTTTTTATTTGGGGGATGGGGGGTTAGTCCCTTGTGACTTAATCCTGCGAAGTCTCAAATGACTATTCAGTGAGTCATGTGACTCTCACAGTTGGTCATGTGACTGATCACATTAGTAAGTAATAGTTTTGTTTTGATGTCACAAGGTCTGCCACGTGACAATGTGGCCAAGCATTTTTCGAAAATGTTATTTATCGTGATTATTCATTGCACACAGATTTTTTAAAATAATTGATTGACTAAGCTTACTTTTGCGTCCAAATGACTTACGTACAGTGTTTCCCCTTCTTTTAACAGAATAGTGATGGCGACAGCCCACTGTTCCTCGCCATTCACAATAACAACACGCAGATCATCCATTTGCTGATAAACCACCAACGGACTGACCTCCGTCAGGTGAACAAGAAGGGATTCAGCAGTTTGCATCATGCCGTGTTTTGCCAAAACAGTTTGTATGTGTTTTCTTTTCTTTTCTAATAAATTTTGATTTAAAACCTCACCACATTTCAATAAACCTAAGACGTAATGACGTCACGCTTTGATTACATGTGCGCTTTCCTATGTCGTAGACGGTCCCCACTTTATCTGGTGTCCCGACTTCGGTCACACAGTAAAGCGCATATGTAAACAAATCAATTACGTCATTACGTCTCAGGTCTATTGCTGATGTTTCCGCTGCAAATTTGCAGCAGAAATAGGTTTCTTGCATGATGCTACAACCTCAATTCGCATGTTAACGTATCAAACATTTGTGATGAAAGCTTTGGACCAAAGTACACAATTTAAACTTTGAACTTTTTTATGGTTGTCCTAATTTGAAAATGTGACCTTCTTATTAAAGTCTTCGCGTTAAAATAGTATTATCTAAACATCAAAAACCACATGCAGTGTGTATAAAGCTTCCGCCTTGAAGTTACATTATGAAGCAAACGAATTTCATTACTCTAGTGCTGTGGGAGGGATTCTTAGAAAATCGCCAAGCATGATCAATGTTACCACATCAACGGACAACTTCACGGCACTACACATCGCCGCCTTAAACGGACTGACTGAAATCACCTTGATCCTCGTCAAACAGGTGAGGTCGTTGATAGCATCATGATTTAAATGAAATGGAAAACAAAATAAAAAAAACCCCAGGAAAACAAATAGTAAGGACTATTAAAGATATGCTACGCATACAAGACATCGTATGCGGCTCGAAAAACGTTCTTGTACAATTTCCATTTTACGTAATTATTTCATCTGGCACAGTATGGGCAATGTGTTTTCGCGTCACATTGTTAAGATGTTTATGTGGGTTTGATGGAATAACCACACAGAGTTGTAATATTACCAGCTACTCTTTCCAGAGCCAAATGTGTGGGAATTGAGAAATAGCCACACGAACAGAGATATACGTGTAGTTGATATTTCCCGGCCTGTCCAGGTTTCAATCAGACTAGTCCTGGTTCTTTTTAATTTCAATGTAGGCTTACTTCCGTTTACATGTACATGCACATTGATTTTACGACTTGTCATACATAGCACGCAACGCGCGTGCAATGTGCATGAACAGTGACAATTTGATTGCAAAAATCCAACCAAACAAAAGAAAAGACGTGTATATACTGCAAAATAGTTAAATTGCGAATTTCGAGCCTATCAAAACTCTCCAAAACAGACTAAGTTTAAAAGGAATTTACAACATTTAAACAAGACAACTGTCAAGTTATTCTGAAATCTCTCACTGGACTGTTAGTGATGAAAGTCTATAGCATCGAGTAAAATCATGGAACTATATGGTGTGCTGTCATGTTAAAGACAGGTGGCATTTTTGTATCAATTTCCAACGCTGGTCGGCCGACCAGTGTTGTAAACAAATTAATCATGATATTTAGTTAGTCCGCATTTTGTTTGCACATGTAAACAAAGCGTAACGTCATTAGGTCTCAGGCCTATTCTGGTCACTTTTTTATGCTAAAGCAGATGTGAGACTGAAGTTTCTGCCTGGAATGACATCACGGGTTTGCTCATGAATATGGATATTGGCATTCGCATACAAACCAAAACGGCGCCAAAAATACCCTTAAAATGGAATGATTAAGATTGAAAACAAGATTAAACGAAACACAATCTTGAAGGTACATTTCAAGGATTGCTTTTAAAAATCATAAATAGGACTAATGGTACAATGCCAAATGGCTTACAATAACTTTTAACTCTTGTCACCAAGGCCAACTGCAATAAAGAACTGAAAACTATCGCTGGACAGACGGCGCTGCACATGGCCATTGACAAGACCAACAACAAGTGTATCGAGGCTCTGGTCAACAACGGTGCCAATGTGAACGCCCAGGACGGCGACGGAGATACAAGCCTCCATCTGGTCATGATGAAAGCCTCCATGAAAGACATCATTGGCACACCACTGGGACAGGTATTAACCCTAAAGGGGTCGGGTTATTCTCAGTCGGGGGGGGGGGCGGATTCATCCCCCCAAGAACTAGACCATCGAGTAACGAAAAAATTTGAAACTCGGTACATGCATAGAGCAACTCTTCATGAACATACCCGAGACATTTCATGACCAAAGGTCAAAGGGTTTTGGAAGTATGGCTAATTACTTATTCATATGTATGAATTGCAATTGTGGACTGTGTACACGACGTATATGGGAAAATTCAAAATTTTCGCTGCGCGACAACCCCTGGTTCGATTTTTATGTTTTTGGTGTCAAAAGATGCGCAAAGCTCGAGACTAAAAATTCATAAAAGCTCGGGTCGCGAAAAAACCATTTTTTAAAGGCTATCACGGAAAAAGTCGAGGGGGGGGGGCGGCCGCCCCCCGGCCCTTTTAGGGTTAAACTAAACACATCTGCACGCTTGGTGGTAGCACGGTCGGTTTCTGTTAATTACGTAATTCTGAGCTAGTCCTTTTGTCTTTACAAAGGACCACTTTCCTTAGCTCAACTAGTGTCCAAAACTTTCAGATCATGGAAACATGTTCAGTGTGTACAATCACATTACACGTACCCCAGCACATTAATATGTACGTAGTTTACAGCTTGCCCTACGCAAAACACCCATCCAAGATTTACTTTTCATGTATAATTGTAGTTGTTGCAACTCGTCCAGCAGCTCGGAGACGAAGGAAGTTCATCCGACGAAAAATCCAACCTTGTTGCCATAGCAGTCTACCTTATCAAAAATGACGCTGATATCTACATCACGAATAAAAAAGGGCAGAATGTTCTTGACGTCACCCTCAATCCAGGGGTTAAGAAGTTACTGAGGGATCACTACCAACGAAAGAGGTGAGATGTGTTTCTAACTACTTCAGTGCATTGACATTATTTTATGGACCCCATGCGCGCACATGGACGGTGTTGTAAAGGCAACAAAGTTGAGCGAACTGCATTGCGCTACACGCAACGTTACGCCAATCTACGAACGTTATTTACTCAATTGAATTTAAGCAGCAACGCGCACCTATGGAGATATGTTCTTGCCTTAAAATATAAATAAATATTTATAGTTCCCGATCCATTTTAGATTTTGAGTGAAGGAAGCAGTATGGAAAGGAGGCTTTTAAGAGGCCTGTATGAGGTCAAGCTTATAAGGGCCGTGCGCGTACTCCAAGGTGAACAAGTAAATTATGAGAATTCTTCCAATGTAGCGAAGTGGCTTGCAGAGCAAACATTTTGTGCGTATGCATTGTAGTCACATCTGAGCAGGAAAAGCAATGAAACCTCCATCTAGCTGCCTTTTATATCCACGTTTTCAGGTTGCAAGTATAACTGTTTCCAGCAAATTGAACACTTTTTTTAAGGAGTTGAATAAAAAAAAATAGAGCTCAAAGTCAACTTATATGAAAATGCGGGCAATGCATGCTCAAGTTTGCTAGGTAATAGCCTCTGACGAAGGTTTTCTTGCACTCCAGCAAATCACATATTAATCAACGTAACTACAGTATAATTTTAGGTAGCCTAAATTTACCCATATACCAGGTTCGAATCAAGTTTACCAAAATAATCATCCGTGTTTACACATGGAAGCTTCCATTGGAGTTGCTGTTTTAACAAACAAGGTGTTTAGACACGTGTGTTTCTCTTGATAGACTGGGCTGTGTTATATTTTTTTCCCCAGGCTTGCACAGGCCATGAAAAACAGTCCAGACGTGAACTGTAAAGTCAGCTAAAGGGTGAAAGTTGCTACGGCGAGGCGGCTGGACCCATATGAACAAACCATAGAACTGTGTGATTAGTACATCACATGTATTTCTACTGCTGCAGTGATTCCAGTATACTGCCCAATTACCCCAAAATGGTGAGAGGCAACCTGAGTTGATCACTGTTAAGGCAATTTGATGTATAAACAAACGATTTTATTTCAATTGTGGACAAGTAGTTATAGGCTAGACAAAGCTTCTTCACCTACCACACAATCGCGTTTATGATTCGCTGAAAGTAGGCCTAGAAACCTTGAAGACATTTTCGATGCATTTACCCAGAACTCCTCAGTCTGTGAACTCGAAGAAAATGTACATAAAAAGCTGACATGAAAACACGTATTGACTAAAAGTTGTTACATAATAGGAGTGAGGTGGGATTTTTGGGGTCATATTTGATTTATAGTCAAGTATAATGTTTAACCAAGTATTATTCTATAAAGCTGGTAGTGATTCTAACAGAAATCTTGGAAAACATCAGATCAATAGATAGAAAACCAATACATTATTGCAGTTTATACACAGCGATCTATCAATGTATAAATACTTATAGCAATATTCACTCTATTTTCTGACCTCAGAGAAACAGTTAGACAAGCAGTTCGCTACTTTCATTTAAAGTGTTAATGCAACGTCATGCTATTCTGTAAAAAAAATCGCTTACTATAAGTGTAAATTTTGACTTCAAATCGTGAAAACGACCACACGAAGGAGCTATTATATGTACATGTTATACAATGCAGTTCATCATTCAAACTTCAAACACTTCAAAAAAATTATCAAAGACTTGAAATAAGAAAAATATCAAATGGTTAACTATTGTAAAGCTGACGTATCCGTTGAAGTTACAAATGTAAAAAGTTTCTTATTAGCCTTAAATATGTCAAAATGCATAAATTGGCATGCTGTAAAAACATTCCATTGAAGCTACGCTTAAAAAATAAAACAAGCACAGCGATACATATCTCATGAATGTTTTGTTTAACAAGTCGCTTAAGTGCATTAATACATATTTTTTTAGAGAACCAGAACTTTTGGAAAATATACAAGTCCAAACACTAAGAATTTGTTAGTCATATATACATTCCAAAGAAATACAGTCCATTTCCTAGTTCCGGATTTTTCCTAGTTCCGGATAGCTTCAAATAAAAACCTACCTCTTTTGGATTAGTCTCCAATAATTTTTTTCTGACGATGTTCATTTTGAAAAGAAAAATGTAAGCTCCTTGATACACAAAGATTTTCCCGATAAATATTTAGAAGAGAAAATTTGGCCAGATTTCCGACTCGCACTTTAACATGTTTGGACGGTTTTTAGAAAATCGCGGGAGCTGAGAATCGACGATAAATTTTCTCCTCGGTATAACACTTGTACCGTGTGATTTCGAAAATTTTGTTCGTACTCCATTCGTATGAACTCTTCCATCGAATGCATGTTGAATCAAAATAAGTTATAAAGTCTCTAATTTTTGAAAATTCGCGAACGAATGACCGTATGCCTTTGCCTAGTTCTGGATAGCGCGTGCACTTACGACCCAACTACACGCGCGTTAATCGTCCGTGCGTGAGTTCGAGCCGTTGCGCTGCAGACAAAAGTTTCAAAATCATTTACGTTTTTTCTCTTTTTGAAATTTGCTGGAACTCTCTTGAATGAAATTTTTTTGGAAATGAAATAATACTTTATCAGAAAATGTGCTTGATTCGGTTGGTTCTGGTTGAAAAAAAAAGATTTTCTAGCGTGATTTTTTTTGATCTATTCGAAACTGATTGAACCGATCCGGAACTAGGAAAAGTGACATCGGTACTTTTGACGTCGTAAAATCAAAGTAAAAAGAGCTTAAATTTTGAAACTTATTTCGTGGTCTCTCTATCACTTAAGGTAAACTTTTTAATCACTTGGATTCGTGGAGTAGTTGAGCCGAAAGCAGCCTGAATGATGTTTGCTATCCGGAACTAGGAAAACGACTGTAAATTAAATTTTAGTTAAAATCGTTATCGTATACACTTAATAATTATGCATTTAAATATGAATACGTTTGAACAGCAAAATGGTTTTCTAACCAAACCATTTTGTTAAAAGGATTGCTTTCGACGCAAAATACCTTGAAATCGCTCAGAGTTGTACTCTCCGAGGTAATTTCAAGTCACAAACCGATTGGTATATATGCTTTTGTGTGTGCTTTATAAATTGTTATTTCTCTAGCTGTACAAATAAAAGTTATAAGTCACTTTTGAGTGAGGCATCTAACGAAAAAAATATCGGCCAACTTGTTTTATAATATTTCGAAATATTTGCTGCTCGACATTAATTCAGTACTATCGTTTAGACTGGTGCCCGCCCTCTTCTAGAATTTGACTTCTAGAATTTGACAATTTGAAAAATATCACTCGTAGGTCAAATATCGATAGGAAAAATCGAAAAGGCACAGACATCATATATTTCAGGATAAAACGTTTTGGCTGATTAATGTTTTGGCTGATGATACTGCAGACCAAAAGCAAACTACTTTAATGCATCTTATATAGCCTCACCTCCTAGCTTGTGCTGTTGGGAATGGATGTAGTGTTTGAAGGTCTATTTCTGGAACGTCGAATATTGCATAGACAAAGCTGGATGTTAAACTTATTGTTCTAAGTGGTAATGATGATGGTGTGCAGCAAATGAAATAAAAATGTACTGCATTCATCATCGTGGTGTGTGAATCTCTTTGGTTCTATACAAATCCACCTTCCCACTTTCGTCTTTTATCTTAGAATTTTACTTTTCTCCCTGACGAACAATGTAAATCAAACCAGCAACTGCGACCTGAAGAAGAAACCTTTAAAGAAAAATTTAACCTGTTGAATTTACGGAAGCTTCAGATCGATCGAACTGATTTAATAATCAGGAAACGAAGATAAAATCTCCCAGTGAATACCGGTAGCGAATTGTACAATAATTGCATAAGCCTCAGCAATTTTGATATTAAATAATTGAACCCTTGACAACCACAATCGATTGCCTATACATTTGCTTGAATGGAGATAGCAATGAAAATGTTATCTTGAACGAATTTCGAAGAAACAGAACAACCAAAGAGAAATACTGTGTGCACGAAAACGAAATTTAATGTATCAATAAAAAAAAAACGCTTTTGGTTTGGGTAGGAAAACTGCGTAAATGTAAAAGCTTCTGCATGAAAACAATTTACTTAATTGAAAATTTGCAAGAAAAACAACAGCATTCCCCGGGACAGCATTCAAGTGAAACACGTACGTCTTTCCAATAACACCCATGCTTTATATCTTACCTCGTTTCTTGTAGGAGTGTCGACTGGTGTCATGTTAGTGTAGGGAGACCAAGTGCGCCCTCTGTTGTTATCTAAAAGTTTTGCGAGTGATTTGCATATCATGACCTTTGGGCTTCCCGCGTAAAGGCAAGTTGTAACAAGTTTTCTCCTGTGGGCTTCGAGCAGAGAAGACCGACATAAAATTGTCTCCGCAAATTCTCTCTTTTTGTAGGGAGCATGGCTCCTGCCATGCTCCTGAGAAATATCATTCTGGGAGGGTACTTCATAGAAAGATCCCAGTGAGTATTTTGCTGTGTTTCATCATCATTTTGTGAGAGAAACTGTGTAGTTTCGGGATGAGACATTCGTTGCATTGTACTGTCATGACTGTGTAGTTTTGTATTATAAATTTATAGTGTGTAGCGTACATGTGTTGAACTTTGACACACACACACATTGTATACTGTGTCATATTTAATATATTATTGTGCATAGGGCTTTGAATACTGGAATTGTTTTAAGAATAAATTTATTGTAGTTCATGTTATTGGAAATAGTCGTCATATCATCATTTTTGTTAGAACACTCGTCCTCTTTAAATAGAGGGCCGGCCTCCTTTTGCCGTCCCGCTACAAAATGGCGTCGTAGACAGGATTGAGTGTTCCGATTTTATTTCTTCAAGATGTCTACTCCCGCTACAAAATGGCGTCGTAGACAGGATTGAGTGTTCCGATTTTATTTCTTCAAGATGTCTACTCCCGCTACAAAATGGCGTCGTAGACAGGATTGAGTGCTCCGACATTTGACATCTGTTTCTACATAGCCGTGAACTTTTTATTGACGACTCGTTTTTATCCGGAAATATTTTGCCCCGGACTTTAGATTTTCTAGTGCACCGGAATTCGTGTTCACGAATCGCACTGAATCGCTTCCGTGAGTTTGATTGTCGCGATCATGGACGTGATGGTCATCATCTGATTTTTGCCTCACCCTGCGTTGAGAGGACTTCATTGACAAGCTACATTGTGTGCTGTGTAACTTTCATTGTAACAATCTATTTTTAGAATTGTATTTGATATTTGACCATTTTGTATCCAAGCTTAGATCTGTTCAGTTTTTAGGCAGTTGTGCCTTGTGTGAATCTGTAGTAGATTCTATATTAGGAACAGATAATTATAGAGCCAGTTGTTGGCCTGTGCTTTGGATTGAGTGTTTTTGAGTCAATTACTAGTATTGCTTGTTGCACACACACACCATTGTAACTTCTGGTTTTCAGCTAATTGTATTTTCACGACATTTTACACCAGTGCATTGTGTCATTTGCTTCTTGTATTATTAGATTGTCTTGGCATTTTTGGGTGACTTTTTAGACCGTGTCAGTTGGAGATTTTTATAGTGGAATTGTACTTTTGTCTACAGTGTAGTTAGACATACTTTCGACTTGTATTTTATTGTCTGTTTGTATGCAGACTTGATTGTAGGTCAGTGATTGAGGCCTGATTTTGTAACAAGTCATATTTCTGTGGGTACATTCCGAGGTAATTATTCCAACCATGTCTGTGCCAGACTCTATTTCGAAGTCAAATAGTGCTTTAGCTAGGACCATTGTTAGTGCCTTCACAAATATTTTATGTGAACAAAATGAAGATGCTTGTCCTATTGATAGAAATGCAGTGAGTAGCATTGAAGCTGCACTGAATGATAGATTTGCTGCTATTTTGAAATGTTTCGAGAAGCCTAGTGAAGACAGGGTTCATAAATCGCAGTGTCCTGACCTTGTTATGTGTTTTCATACAGTTGAGGTGGTAGATGCTGTTTTTGAAGAGGCTAAGCCGCTTCTAATTGAGACGGTTTTACTTGAAGCTGCTGATTTTTGTAATGTGCAGGTGGAAGGAGTAGTTTCTGTTTCTCCTACTGTGAGTGTTTTCGATGATAGCCTTCATGTAGTTAGCTACAGTAATGTAAAACACTCCTCACTTAGTTTGTCAGATGGCAAAGCCCAAGAAAAAGTAGGGAAACCTCCCTTGTCTTTGGTTATCGCAGCTTATTTCTGTGTGTTGGCAGTAGTGGTGACCATAATTACTGTTGACAGGAGTACAGTGCCTCATATTCGGGGTCTGTGGCCAAATGCCATTACTTAAAAGTACTTGTGTTTATCTATGCCTAGCATGATCATTGTATATGTAATGGCTATGTACTGATAGCTCAAGCTGCCCCTCCATATTTTACTGTATAAATATTGGTGTTTTGCTCTTTAAAAAAAAAAAAAGGGACACAGGATTTATCCGCACCATATTTACTTATTTCATTGTATAAACTTGTATTTTATATTTTTCCATTTATTTTGGAATTTGTTTGTTGTCATTCACATGTTTGAATGAGATTATTGTACGATTTGTTGTACAACTATTATATATGCCTTTTATAATTTTGTGTTTTTATAGCATGTTCATGTAGGTGTATCTTTTGTATGATGACTAATTGATCATTATAATTTCATGATTCAGGCAGATGCATTTTAGGTTGTTCCTGACTTGTCAAGGTTGGTTCACAGAGACGTGGCATTTTCATGTTTTTCTCTCTCTTTCATTTTATATGGGATAGGAATTTGTGTGTCTTTGTTTACATTTCCAAATGTATTCCCTAAGAACGTTTAGTGACGGGATTGTAGGTTCCTAATTTTAGTGTAGTTGCTAAGTGGAACATTTTGTCAGCAGTTTTGTAGTTTGGTGTATTCCAACTATTTTTACTCACCGATATTATAGGATATTTTTGTATACCCTTTTTAGTGAGATTTGTCTGGCACTTTCACCATGCAATCTACCATTTATAGGACCATTTTCAGGAAATGTATATGTGTATGTACTTCGTAAATTCCTCTCCTATTGTTGTTGCCCTAAGTACCATTAGTGATGGGTGTTGCTCCTACCAGGGTAGAAATGTAATTGTTTTCCTAGCCTTATGTGGGTGAAGGATGTTGTAGTTGGTTGAGTTGTCCAACTGTTTGTTCTCACAGTGTGAATGAAGCTTTGTATTATTCTACCCTGCAGTCTATCTGGGGATGCACTGAATTGTTTGAGAAAATACATTTTGCCTCGGTGCTTTGCTAGCAAAACGAGTGTATAGACAGCCACTTGTATCTGAGACCTATATGTAGTGTATGAACCTCCTGTTTGCCTGACACTTCATATCCAATTGTTCCATTATAACAAAAATTCACTTATATCTTAATACAGATCCAATGTGATTTAGATTTCATTACCTTGTTATGCATGTTTAAAATTATAACGAGTGTATGTTCAGAGTTGTTGGCATGAAACCACAGTTTTATTGTATAGTGACAGTGTATGGTGCATGCAGGGGTGCTCTGTAATAAATTCACCATGTATTGTGTTTAACCCTGGTTGACCTCATTGTATT